GTCACTGTTTTCAGTTTCAATAATGTTCTATTAACATTTCGGAAATGTTCTGTCTGTATCAAATAAAATAGTTTGTCTTGAACTTCCAAAAAATCTTCAGACTTGATTTTACCCAGATTTTTATTGCCTTTGCGACAGTTATTACAAAATCTTTGTATCCAAGCTATTATCCTGACCTTTTTGCTATAAGAAGAGGATTTCAATAACTTGGAAATTATATCTCCCTCTACTTGATCGACTGCACATATAACCGTTTGCCTCCGTTCTGCCTCGACAGATTAATCTCTGATTTAGGCCAATCTTTTATACTGAATTTTAACCAGTTGGGTCCTTCCCACCAACGGCTCTCCACTAGCTTCTCAATATAGCATCCCCTAGAAAGCAAATCAGCTGGATTCTTAACACCAGGTAGGTGACGCCAGTCATCTCTGTTAGTGTTTCGTCGAATTTCATTGGCTCTGTTTTGGACAAACGGTTTCCAAATGGTTAGTTTAGTAATCCACGCTAACACAACACTAGAGTCTGACCAAAAGTGGCTTTTGAATTTTATATCTAAACCATCTGTTGCTTGCCTATAGAGTCTAGTACTGATCGTTGCTGCTATCAGTTCCAACCTAGGTATACATATATCTTTGTTACTAGGCGCTACTCTTGACTTCCCAGCTAACAATTGAACGGAAACATTATCACCACATTCTACTCTTATGAATACACAGGCCCCGTAGGATTTCTTTGACGCATCACAGAATGTATGAATCTGTACACATGAGTCGTTGCTGAAAGGTATTGACGACATTCTTCTAGGTACTTTACAGGTTCTCAGTAAATTCATGTTCTTGCGCCAGGTTGTGAAGTCTTTTTCGATGTCTTCTGGTATTCGCTCGTCCCAACCAATATTTGCGCTCCACACTCCCTGCATCAATAACTTCGGTATTAGTGTAACTGGGCTTGTGAAGCCGATGGGATCAAATGTCTTTTGTGCATATGAAAGTAAAACTCTTTTTGTGATTATCTCATTTTCCTTAACATCATATCCAACATTACACGCTAACGTATCATCATCTATATCCCACATTAATCCTAATATGGAAATCATCTTCGCGTGTTTTTTCATATAATTTCCAGTCCAACCTCGTAGATCCATTTTCGCTGCATCCATTAATTGCTTCGACTCTTTCATGAATTTTCGAAACTAAGAACGCAGTTGTCTACGTAATAGCTGTTTTTTAATTTTCGTGCCGTCTCTTGTCGTTCTTTTGGTGTCTTTCAAGATGGTAAGCAATAGTTGCGTTAAGCAAGAAAGAACTACACGCAATGCCAAATACAACTCTACAATGGCGATAAGTACCTAATTAAGGTTACTTGCTTTTTTATATCTTCCCACCATAAAAATTGCAGGAACTGCCTATCTTCTGGTGTAACCGAGATTTGTAAAAAGGCCTTACTAATGTCAGCAGTAACACCATAGGCGTGCATCCGAAATACTGTTAATTTCTTCAGTATTATTTCCAACATATTAACTCCCGCATACAAGCATCTATTTAATGAATTACCTCTGCCATCCTCTGCTGATACGTTAAATACTGGCCTTATTCTAGTTGTTGCACTTTCTTCTTTGTTGACTGCATGGTGTGATAGATAGTGTCCATTGTTAGGATCATCATCTTGAACTCTTTCAATAATTCCCTATTGTAACCAATTTTGAAAAGCATCGTGGTACTCGTCCAGATTTTTCGTTTTAACTAATCTTCTAGTTGTTGATTTCAACCTTTTTTCTGCCAAAGTTTTATTAGTTAAAAGTCCGTCATATCCCTCCTTCCAAAGTAATCGTACTTCGTATCTTCCTTCATTATTAATAGTAATAGTGTCATTGAAATATTTCATTATCTTCTTGTTCTTTTTCCTTAATCGTCTCGGCAGAATCTTTTATCCCTAAAGTTTCTAAGCTCTATAAATCTGTTACGTTTAAATTACATGTCAACGAGTTATAAACCGAATTTCTCGTACTTACTGGACCTTGAATGTACCAACCAAAGCTTCTGATAGCTGTTACATTATCATCTAATTGAATTATCTCCCCTCCTATTAATATTCCAGAATTATCAGCTCCTATCAACATTTGTATCTCCTTTTACTCATCGATTACATCTGATAACTGAATTTTATGATGAGACATTTTCTGTAATAGCTTTCGGTTCGAAACAAGCGGTATGGGACCTCAAATTTCTCTGGTTCCCAAAACTTCCATTTGCAAACATAGGCTTCCTTCGATGTTCTTTACATTTATGCTGTATACATTATGTGTCTTCTGTTTTGTCTCTGCTCCTCCAAATACATAATGCCCTAACGTCTCTGTTTCTTCTGAACTCAAGCCTAATTTTCTCGCCGGCCCCTCTTTAATGTATGATCTCTGGGCTCCTGAGTCGATCAAAGCTCTCACACGAAGCATTGTGCTACCATTTTGTACCAATACCTTAACAGTTGGTAATAAAGTAACGAAGTCTTTGTGACATAGCAGTATATTAGATGCTGCGTCATTTTCTTTAGACACTTTTCCGTTACCTGTCTTCTTATTTTCTGTGCCTTTTTTGATGTCTCTACACATTATTGTCATATGTTTCTTAACGCATATCAGACACCTAACAAAAACTCTACATTTCTTTGCACTATGACCCTTGCGTAAACAGTATAAACATAAACCTTTCTTCTTAATCAGCTCGATCTTTTCTTCGACTTTCATTCTACTCGCTGTATGGCACTCTATGCTAGAATGAGACGACTTGTCGCACCAGACGCATGCTACAATATCCTTAGCTTGTCCTGCAACGATGCACGCGGCTGTAGGTGGTCTATCTTCACGTAATTCTTTAAACTCTTCAAGACCCGCTTTTACAAGTGTCAGTCGCTCGAGGCTTTCTACCTCCCTCTTCAAAAACTTGAGTAGGCTATTTAAGTTGTAGCTTTCTTCATCATTCTCGCCATCAGTCCCACGAAACCTTATCCAAGTCTGCAATACCTCACTTGGCAATGCTGATTCGACTAATGGGTATAGCATAGCGGCATATTTGTCAGGCGTTACATTGAGCGTCTCCAAGGATCTTATTTGGGCTGTCAATTTATCATACAGTTCGCTTAAATTTTTCTTCTCTTTCTTCAATACCAACTTCAATAGTTCTCTCACATAAATTTCTATCAATAAGCTCCTTTCCAAATCTATACCTTAAATGTTCCAACGCTTTTTTATAATTACTGCCAGACGGGGGAAAACTTTCAACTACTCTCCTTGCTGCAGACCCTTCTTCCGTTGCCTGAATAAGGTACTGCAACTTGTCATCCTCCTCAATATTTGGATCCTCGTCAATCGTGTGGAATTGTCCCCAAAAACTCAACCAGTTATTTATTTTTCCGTCAAACTTCCTAAATTCAATTATTGGTAATTTAAATTTTCTTCCAAAATCTACAGTCTTTTGTTCATTCTTAATGGCTCTTGTTTCTACTTCTGACCTTACTGTAACTTCAGAACTACTTTTACTTAACTTGTCTTCTCCTACTGTGTGTACTACTCGTAAAAAAAATTCAATTCTATCCACCTTTTTCTATAACCGTCTACAGAATTTTGTTCTTTTTCAAACTCATCTATGTCAAAATCTTCCTCTTTCAAGAATTCCAGTTGTACCTGATCATCTAATTTAAATATGCATCCGCCTTTTCTTTCAAAAAATTAAAGAATTTTTCTACCTTTCTGGGCGTTTGCGCTTCACCGGCTTCTGCTACTTCATCAGCAGCTTTCGTAAATAGCCTTCTTGCCACAGTTCGCAACTTTTTAATTTTCTCCATTTTGTTTGCTACTGTGACACACGATTTCCGTTCTATAGTCCTATATATTTATCCCCACACTATTTAAATTCACAGTCGCCACTTGTGGCGAGGAAAATGTACTTGACTTATTTTATTTAATACGTAAATCGCAAATTATATTTTACAAGACTTTTATTCTAAAGAAAAGTTTAATAGAAAAAAAGTCCCGTCCGCTGCCTGGTCCGCATGGATTTTTTTCTAGTAAACTTTTCTTTAGATTTAAAAATCTAACAGTTAAATGCTTAAAAAATAAATAAAATCAAGACTTTTATTTATTTGACATATTAAAATAGACAACAATAAATTCGAAAACAAACTAATCTCTTTAAAGAAATGTAATCCACCAGTGCTGCAATCATAGACATAGTATTTGTACCTATAGCTGCACTCGACAAATATATTTAAATCCGTGACTTTCTGGCTAAATGTATTTCCAGATAGATTCCAGCAGACGAAGCTTCGAATATTCGGCTCCCAATTACGCCTTTTTATCGCATTGAGAAATGCATCTATTATTTTGCGGTTTTTTGGAAACCTAACAAATAAATGTTACTAAATGTTATAAATGAAAAAATGTTATAATATAGCAAACAATAAAAGATAAACGTACATTATTTATACATCACATTATTTGAATAAAAATATTCAGTAAGCGGATGCGTTACATTATGCATATAAACTTACACTATGACAACTTGTTCTCTTATTCTTGGTCTGTGCACTATGACAAATTGACAAAAGGGTACGGGTACGGCCAGAGATTCAGATTCAGATTGAGGGCATCACGGACCTCGGATATTTCAAAAATTGGAACTGTTTTTAAATTGGGATTCCGGAAAAAAAATAGATCAATTTAGATTCCAAAGGTATATGATAGTAAACTATCAAAAACAATAAAAGGGTTTTTGTTAATAATTTATGGAAGAATGGCAATTGTGTCGATCTAACATGATTCTCCAAACCTAAACTTAAATTTAACAACAATAGTGTATCCTTGTCATTTTCTGTACACAATAAAAAATGTGTTAAATTTAGTTTTAATTTAGAGAATCATGCCAGAATCGACACCGATGCTCGTATGGTATAGCATGAAAAGCTAGGGACTCGAAGCTGTGACTCTATTTGACAAGCCCAAAAATTTTAAAAATGTCTACGGTTGACGCCTTGACGCTAGTTGATGAAATTTCTTAATTTTTTGTTAGATTTACCTGAAATTTCGGTTAAATTATATGTAATAAAATCTATTTGAACATTACATAACATACTTCACACAAATGGTGCGCTTTGGTATCAACTTTGTGAAAACTCTACTGTGTAAATTGTTGCTTAGTTATTATGCGTCTTTTATCAATTCGCATGTGCGTGAAAGATATGTCAGACTAGAAGAAAACGTAGAATTTGTCGCAGTTTTGAAAATGTAATACCGAATTATAGCCATCGCTATGTTTTTTATAATAAGTGTTTTTACATTTTGTGAAATGGATGATCAATGAAATTGTAATGAAACGAACAAGTGTTGTGTCGGTTAGTTAGTTTTTGACAGCCGGCTGGCTCGTCGTAAGCGACTCACTATTGGTTCCCCATAAAAATGAACAGTCGCAGTAGTGTAAATGAAACGAATTTGGTGAATTTCTCAACGGATTTGTCGACATTAAATCAATTGGACACAAAGGACGGATTGCTAAGTTTTCCTTTTGATCATATTTATGCATGCTCTGATAGTTCAGATCGCAGACAAACTCTTCAACTTGACAAAGAGGTTGAGATTTCGACACATTGCGTGGTCGCCGAGGACAATAAAATATCGACTGGCACCAGTGATACAATCAAATTGAAAGAGCAGTTGGCTGCATCTGAAAATCAAAATAAGAGGCTGAAAGATCTTCTTATTTATCATTTAGATCTGATCCAGCAGCAGAACGAGCTTATCACTAAAAGAGAAAAATTGTATCAATCTTTAAAACAAGAAAATGATACTGTAAGTAGTTATCACAATAGCAATAATGACATAGTTTTAGAATTATAGTCATGCAATGAATTATTCTCAAAAAATTAAGCATGTCCTTAACTGATGTGTTCTTATGAATACGTTATTGTAAAATAGGTATTTGGGCTAAGCTAATGTCAATTTACTTACAATTGCTAATAACAATAATTGTCTGAAATAAAATACCTTGAAACATAGATTGTTTACACATAGTTATTTGGTTTATATTTATCATTTAGTATTAAATTAGATAATGATAGATGTCAGATCCTTATTTGCTAGTTCTTTTGCATTGCAAACATAAACATATAACTTTATAGGTTAGGTGCTGTGCAATTACTAGTTTACATTGTAAATATTAATTGTACTAAAGTAAATATTACAAATAAATCATGGTATCATAATATTTCTTGCCTAGCCAATGCACAATAAATTAAGTATGTAGTTTATTGGTAATGAGGTATCATAATGCTTTAGTAATGAATTTGCTGCACTATGAGCTGAGCGTTATAATTTATTTACTTTACTTTAAATACTTAAGAGCTAGAATAGAAAAGTGATATGCTCACCACAATATAATTTTAAGGAGCAGAGAAATTATATATTTTAGGTTTTGTATCATGGCAGAACTGTTTCAAACCCAAAAAAGTACAATTTATGTTTGTAAAGGACACATCCATTTCAAGATAATTATCCATGCAAGTATAACTATACAGGCTCTCTATAGTGATATTATCTTTTCTTATTGTATTTTTCCAAAATATCTGAAGTATGTAATCATATTACAGAAAAAGTATACCTATAAAGTGAATTGTGTATTTTTATGGTATTGCTATGCAAGTTGTAAATACACATTAAATAAGTTAATATTCTTCTTTGACAAATTTTGTATGATTGATGATTGCTTTGCCATACGCATAGGCCTTCCCTATGGATGGAATAGAGAGATTTGACCACTGATGATCCACCATGCATGCACAGTGCGGCTTGGTGGGTGCTAACAACTGCAGATGCAGCGGAGACTAATGTCTTAGCATGCTTTCCAAAGCACAAAGGAGCTCGACTTAACAAGTTTATGGTCACCTATCCAATAACCGGCCACTGCGAAAGTTGCTTAACTTTCACTGTCGCAAATCGAATGTGCTAACCAGTTGTGCCATTGAGCTCCTTGTAATAATACATATAATTAGTATGATGATATTATATGAAAGAATTAGGTTATTATCAGCAAGGACTAGCTAGTGTTATTTGATTAATATTTATTCTTATTCTTGCTTCAAAGATATTGGGTTTGAAACCTGGCACAGGAATTTATTTGTGTTATGAGTATGAATATTTATTGTTCCCGAATCATTAATATTGAAATATGAACACATTTATGGAATAAGCTATCTAGCTGAATTTATACATTATACATACCTGAACTTACTTGCCTACTTACTCTATTTCAACGAAAAACGAAATTTCAATTGAAATTTCGCACTTTCCTTACTCTGTTTCTATTTAATTTCGAAAATTCGTTTGTCTGAAAATAGTTTGACATTTAAATCCTCCAAGCCTACTCTATTTCACAAAACTTTCAAACTAAAAGTTGAATTTGACAGATAATTGTTTGAAATTTTAACCTCAAATTGACGATATGAAAAGTGTTTTCAATTTTACCTTTACCTTTTCATTTTTGTTATGGGATTTTTGTTTAAATTAAACCTAAAATTACAACTAGACTATTTTTAATTAAGGCTGCTTAGCATGAGGACCACTTTTTAGTATGCAAAATTAAAAAATAAATCAAAATTATGTTTTATTATTGTATTGCCAATACTTCAAAGTGTTACACGACAAATTTAGGTTGACATACATTTGATCGCATAAACTCTACAAATTAGTCGGCTAACACTGTCAAAAGAGGTTGTTTTAACGTAATAAAAAAAATTATCATAAAGCAATATTGTATTGAAGTAAACAACATTATCTAAAAAGTGTAGACAAAAAGAACTCACAAACATAACTCATTCCATTCGTTCACGATAATTGTCTGTGATTCCGAACTTATATGTGTTCGAAGATGAACTAGAGTAGAGACACTGGCGAAATTTCGTTTAATATTCGTTTGTTGCCGAAATTTCGTTTCGGAGAAAGAGATTAGAGCTTCTGTAGTATTCATAGTATAAAATCAGCTTCATTAGAGTCAATAATCCAAAATAATTTCTACACATTGCTTGCCATATTTATATTAAGGGTGATTTTGATTGAGTGATTATTTATTCTATTTACACCGAGAATTTTGAGTTCCCAGAGAAAATTTATGAGTGAATTGGGACAACAACTAAGGATATTATAATTCTTACAAAAAGAAATTGTCTCCATATTAACTCAATAATTGTGAAATTATAAAACCATAACAAATTTAGTCTGTTTTACTTGATTAAAAAAACTTTGTTTAGGATAAACATACTTTATATGGATAATAAATACATTTTTTTTACAAATATGTGCTTTTTATAGGATATTTTGTAAACAATATCAATTAAAAATTTTGTATTTTGGTATGTCTATTGTTTATATCTTAAAAAAAATATTTGAATTTCTTTATAATTATTCAGTTTAAACTGTCACAAGTTCTCATCAATGTCTAGGAGCTACACCATTGGTTCTTTAATTTACAGACTGAGAATAACCTTAGCAACAGTAACTGTTTTTTACTATTTTATTTATAAATTTTTAAGTTTCTCAGGTAACTCAAAATGCGCGGTGTAAGTATATATATCATTATAATTATTGCAAATTATTTTGAACACATATATTCCCAATACTTCATTGGACAATCAATTTTGATTGTTTGAGGTAATAACTATTTTAAGACTTTAATGTTTATTTTCTTTTCCCAAAATCATTAAAAAAAGGTTTAAATGCAGTGGTTTAATTAAAAGAACAGTACCCCTAGCACAAACCAAAATCGAATTCGTAACGTTTGCGAGTTTGAAATGTCATTGTCAAATGTGTACTGATTTTTAGTTCCCGTTACGTCCAAAATGGCGCTGCTGTTCAAGTTTCCATACAAAATTTGACATTGACATTTCAGTTTGCAAAATAATCGAATTCGATAATGGTTTGTGCATGTGTACTGGTTGGGTTAATGCAATGACAACTATATATATGACATGAGCCTTCAGACATAATTATATATCTCTATGGCATATATATGTCTGAAGGCCTTGGGTTTGAAACCTTGTAATCTTGACTGGTAATTAAGTAGATTATAATATTTTTATTTGAAGCGTTTAAATCTAAAGAAAATTTTACTAAAATATCCCAGTTTCAAATGGGATTCAAACCCGCATCTTCTGCTATCAGGGCAGACTTAAGAAACTAAATACCTAAAAGTTCATAAATCTTCTGCTAAAAAATACTTTATGTGATTTGATACCTCGGGGATTAATTTTACATAAAATATACAAAAAGTTGTTGAAAGGAAGAATTTTTGCGTAATACGGACAAACAGTATGAATGTCGCCCTTAGCTAATTCTGCAACATTTTCGTGGCTGTATGGCTTTTTAATATAATCTTTCCCATTGCAGAAAAGAATTACAGATTTTTAGTAGCCACTAATTATGTATTAAAATTTGCTAGTAGCAACGTAAAATATATTTTTTAGCTTACTAATAAAGAGGAATAAAAAGTACTTTATTTTCAACACAATATACTTTTTTTTCTACCATTAATATCCAATGTACTTTATTTGGATAAAAAAAAGGTGGCAACCCTGGTTGACAGCCGACTCACCTAGTGGACAGCCGACTTTGGCATGGAGTCATTGCACTGCATGTCGGAGAAAGAAAAAACAGTGAGACAGAGTACATACAAAGCCACTGAATAGTTAGAGTTGAGGTTGTGTTGATCTGTCTCCAATCCTTAATTCTAAAATTAGTTCCAACTCACACAAAGGATGATTTACACTGATAACTACAGTAGCGAGTTAACTTACGGTCTTGGCGCGTCAGGGTACACATAAGCGGCCCGGAATTAATCGGCACAGCCGGACAGTAAAATCGAAAAGGTGTAGATGAATGTTCGGCAGTAATTATTACGGGTCTGCTTTGTGGTTCGACAAATACTGCTGCACTGACTATGCCGGCCCGATTATGTGTGTAGCTACCCCAAGTTCTTACTATCATTGGGAGAGGGATTTGCCAGTTAATTACATACTGCTTACTCAAATGTAAATCAGTCTTACCTGGGGTTGGATTTTTATTATTTATATTTGTTTAGTTACCTAAAAAAATGATGATGATTCTCGTTTGTCTGTATAATTAAAGAGTAACTTCAAACATTACAGCTCAAAACTAAGCTGAGTAAGCGTGTGACCACTGTTAGCCAGAGGCATAGTGTGAACCCACCGCCGCTGGTTCACGTCCCGTCGTGTGGTTTGCCTCCACCGTCAACGCTACCTCCTGTCACATCTACAGTGGTGAAAACTGAACCTGGCCCATCGTCACAGGTAAATATGTACTCAGTTACAAGTAAAATCATAAGTACCTCTCCAACTATTTGAGCACAAAGAAGGTTAGCACAAAGTTTGATCTGTGATTTGTGCTGTACAAATTCTGTTTGTGTAACAGTTTGCACTGCATAAGATTGTGTCATGTGGATCGGTGTTTTAAGAAAATATTTAATTTTTAATCAATTCTCTACTTTCTAATGCAAGAGACTTTGGTTGTGATAAGCCTTACTCGTATTTAATTGATTTAACAGAATGACAGAATTCGACGTTTATATACACATTCAATGTTCTCAAAAGAACTAGATTATATGAAACTACCCAGCAGCTGTCAATCTCAACTTCATTATTGTTAAAAGTAAAGCCATCTATATTTATATAACGTCTTTTAAATTGCGGGTAGCCGCCGGCCCCGGTATGTGTTTCACTAAGTAGAGGCCTCGGATACCTCTTAGAGCAATTTTTTTAACTTCCGCATGGCCCATGTATCATATTAGACTTTACTATTCTGAACCGCACGTTAACATTCATCCATATAAAACTTTGAAACCCTAAATCACCTTTTAGGGGGTAGTTAAAGAAAACTAAAAATGATAAACTTTATAATTTATTTAGATAAGTATTTGTGCCAAGTTTCAAGTCTATTAACCCAAGGAATACGATTTTTCATACAAACTTTCATCACTTTTTACCGCTTGGGGTAGAATTCCTAAAATCTAGATACATGTTATTCATTATTTCTGCTCTCAAGTATAATTATACTGAGTTTCGAGTTAATCGAAATGCTCGTTAAAATTAATCCATATAAAAACTTCGAGACCCTCGCAAATCCCCTTTTATGGGGTAGTTTTGGGAAAACTAAAAATTACAAACATTATAATTTATTTAGATAAGTTTGCAGATTGACGAAGTTGAAGTTTCAAGTCGATTAACTCAAGAAATAAGATTTTTCATACAAACTTTCATCCTCTTTTTAACCCCTTCCGGGGTGAATTTTGAAAATCCTTTCTTAGTACACCCCTAGCCATCATAAGGAATCTACGTGCCAAATTTATCCCGACCCGGTTACCATCGTTTTGAGTAGTCTGTTTAATGTATAGAGCAAGGTAGAACTTGGGATGATAATTTTTTGCCTGTCTCAGTTTGTTGCCATCATAACAGAAACGCGTTTACCACTTCGTCATCAAGACTTGAATCTGAGTTTAAAAACTAATATTTACATTATACCTACAGTATAATCTCACTAATCCGGCACTATTAAAAAGCGGAGGGTGCCGGATTATTGGAATGTTCGGATTACTGGATTGTAGTGAAAAAGTCGTAGGTAACGAATAAAATAAAGCATTTCATAGATGGAATAAATGTATGTAATGTATTAATTTAACAAGTACACATACATATGGAATTACATAGTTTTAAAATAATCCTTAATTGAGGTCTGCTTTTGTGCAACTTGTAGTCTTTGCTTAAAAACCTTTTCTCGCAAGAATTATAATATCTTTGGCAGACATGCCGTTTTCTTCTGCCCATGTTATGCAGGTATTGAAACAAATCAAATGATTTTATGGGCAAGTTGGATTTTTTCATAAACTTCTTGACTTCTGGGACAAAGTCATTATGAAACCATTCGCTGAATACTTCTCTCGTGACCCAACTTCTAGTTTGATTCTTGTAGCAGACTGGCAGATAAATGTTCTTGAAAGCTCTGAGATTTTTTGCTTTACAAATCACTAACAAATCCAAGCGCACAGGTGGAGAGGGGCGAGGGAGGCATGGGCGGAGGGTGCCGGATTATTGGACGTGCCGATCTATCGAAGTGTCGGATTAGTGAGATTAGACTGTATTTACAAACAAAAAAAAAAACAAATAAGGGAGTTGTTCTCAATATTTACTTTCATATTTTCAACGCGGCATTGCTGCATAGTGGAATGTTGTTGTAATAATTTATAAAATAAATAGAGTTTGAAATAGTTTGGCGATGTCTTTGGTGCTTCATGTTCCAATGTAAAGTTCTAATTTGAAATATGTTCTACTGTAAAATATTTGCGTTATTATTATTCTCGTGTGGATTTTTAGTTTTTATCCTGAATGTCTATTGTAAGTTTGTAGCATAAAGGTACACTGAAGGTGATTATTTTTTATGCAAAGTTAATTTTAATACTGTGCTTATATGCTTGTTCGTGTCACAAATTACCCTTTTCAACTCTTATTGGAAATTTGTAATAGGATCAGTTTTCTTCTCGTCTGGTTTTAGTCATACGTATGTACTGTGTATTTTTAACCATATCAAACAAAGAGAGGTATCTTAACGCATTATAAACTAATTTAATTTATTTGTTTTCGAAATTCCAGATAATGCTGAATAGTTTCACTGAACTTCTACTACCGGATAATCGAACAAACCCATTCGTATTTGATAGCGATATCAATAAAACTAAATCTTTTGGGCAAGATTCTTTTGAATTGTCAAGGGGTTCTGAAGGTAATTAGGTACTTTATTTATATATATATATATATATACTCAAGATTTAGTTTCTAATCAAACAGTAACTATTATAATTTTGTAAACTTCTTTTACAGACGTTGCAAGTTTTTTGCAAGGGGACTTAGGAGTTCCGTCTTTACTGGATAGCAATGTTAACTGTGAGAATTATACAATGATTGAAAATAAGCGTTCATATGTTAAAAAAGAAATAAAGACTGAACCTCGTTCCGATGCTTTGTATACCCTAACACCAAATAGTGGTATTCAAAGATTACAAAGGAGCAGGAGGAGAACTTCCTCAGGATTAGGGAGTTTAAGTCGAATGTCTAAAAGTCCCAGTACTAAAGTTGAAATGCCTGAAAACAGTGAGTTGTTTCTGTATTTATGGTGCGCTCAATCAAATAAGATTTGCATTCCTTTTCTTGATTTCCTTCACCTTCAACACTCGTCTGGAAATAATAAATAATTTATTTTACAGGTAAAGTGTTCGATGAAGACAACAAAAGTTTCTCAAATTCTTTTAATGTAAATAAAAAATCTAAGATAAATACTTATGGTAAGTCTAGAAGTGCTATAACAAAGAGGACGTCACAGTTCACCGGCTCGCTCTCAGATAGGCTGCAATTAATTGATACCACACCGACCGGCGAAGATCCTTATCAACTAGGCGAAGCTGACATGAGGGAGCAATCTCCTATACCGAAGTTGATGCTGCAAAAGACGAATCACGGTAGATTGAAAATATGTTCTGATGGTTTAGGCGAAAGCACTACAACGACGCCCCGACGAATATACGATCCGACCGGGACAGAAAACAAAGCGACTAATAAAATAAAAATTGACAGGTACAATTTGCCCAGTACTTATGTGCATCCTTCAGATATAAAGAAAGAAACGAAAACTGTCATTGTAGAAGAACCAGATCTAGATATTGTTAAAACGGAACCCGAGATTGACTGGCGAATGTACTTGCCTAACAACAAACCTGGGAACGAAACCAGTTTGTGTGACTTCTCTTATGGGGAAAATTCTAATAACATAGCATCACATATCTTACCCTCTATAGGCACTATGGAGTTCCAAGATCTCTTCTCACCCGATTCCCCGTTGAATCTGGATAATTTGAACACAGTGGTATATGACCCCAGCAATGATAAGCATACTTCAGATAAATCTAAGAAACGAGGCATAAGGACGTCTAGTTTAATAGGCTCTAACCTTTTAGGGGTAAGTTTTGAAACAAGTAGTATGTTTACTTAATTTACTTTTCATATTTTTTTTTATATTATTGCATTATAATATTTCATTTCTAGGGAGAAGCAATTGACAAAAGAATAAGTGACAGTAAACGAGGAAGAAAGCGAGCTCTTTCGGCGACAGGACTCGTGAAGGCAATGAAAGGCCAAAACCCTCAAAAGGTTATCATAGTCGAGCCAAAACCAAAGTTAATTAAGGGTAAAGGTATGTTATACTTCAAATATAATGATATTTCAATAAACTAGTAACGTTTTTACAACATTCTTTTCCCATTTCAGCTGCTTGTCGCGGCAAAAAATCTCCTTTGCCTGCAATGGTGACGAATAAGCCATATCATACTTTAGTCGGTGACCCCGATCTATCTTGGTACCTGGGCTTAGATCCTGACGTCAAAATGGAAGATGTTGATCAACCAGTAGAAAACTGCAAACTTCCTTCAGTTGAGGTTAGTCTTGTATTTATTTATTGTTAAAGATTTCATTAAAATCAAAAGGTTTGTGAATATATTTATGTCGTTTTTGATGATAATGATGAACACATATATTGGACCTAAATACGTTATATTGTAATGGTATGGGTAAAGAAATATATATATAGTATTATATTTTTATGAAAGTAATCCTTTCATAAAAATATAATATAGACAATATTATAGACTATATGAAACCTATTTGAATAATCATTTTCATGTTTGATCATATATTTTAAAATTTACCATAATAACATCAATGCCAAATGACGTACAATATGTACACAGCTTATACGCCAACATTATTGCATTTTAAAATGACACTTAGTCCCTTAGCGGGCATTAAGGCACTAAGTTCCAACTTCCTTTGGAAACAGCCGCCAATACATTGCACTAAAGTAGTCTCTTTCGCTCTCATTCGTAAAGTAGATCAGTACATCTCCCACTTTAGCCTCTTACGTGTCACCGGTGTCAGCAACTGTCAAAATAAGTAATCACTAAATATTTTTAGATTAATTTCCTTAAAAATGTACTTATTTTTTTTTTATATTTACACGTTGTAGCATATTGTAGCCGCAGCGAATGAATGATGAAGACCTGAATGCAAGTCGAGCAATTACCTGACTTTCGTATTGCCAAATTAGAAGCGTGTATGACGTATCTGTAACTTTAAAACATCATAGTAACTCTCTATTTTATTAATTTCACACAGAAATGTCTGACTAACTTTATCTTACATGAAAGCATGTTTTTATGGATGAAATTACTTATACTATGTTGTAATTATTTCTCAAAATAATATTATTTAACTAGTTATTAATTTGTCATAATACAATGCAGACAAGGAATGTTTTTAAATAAATACGTACTTCTTATTAAATTTAAAATAAAATAGGTAAGTTACAAGTAACCTAATAATCTCTATAGAAATAATAATTTGCTTCAGGTACCACGGTGGAGAGAAAAGCCTTATACTAGTTGTTATACACTTGAAGGAACAGAAAATTTAGATGACAAAGTTTACGAGAAAAGGCATCAAAAGCTAGAGGCTGAAGAAAGGCGGCAACTAAGGTAAACTAACTATTACAAGTACATTATAAGCAATCCTAGTTCTAAAATGATTTGATAATTAATATAATGTATTGCAAACAATAACAGGACCGCGCATTGTAGCGTTTTATGGGGGAGGCCTATGTCCAGCAGTGGACGGAGAAAGGCTGATGGATGGATGGATGGATTGCAAATAATATAAGCTTTTTAGTTTATTTGCAAGTTAAGATTATGAAAAACAGTTAACAACATTGAAAGATCAATATTGAACTACTCGTAAGGCTAGTAGATTGTGTATCGCTCGGGCCAATAAAACGGAAGGAAAATGACGTATGGCAATATGTCTCTTGGAAATGATGTTCGGAGGAACTGAATTTCTATTATGAACTCTTAAATTTTACTATATTGTTTCGGTTTAAATATTTGCTATTCCTTTGATGTTTTTGATTTCCATAACACGATCACCAGCATGGCTGAACGAGGTACTTTGGGATACCGAAAAATGCAGGTTTTGTCCAAAATTTACGTAAATTATGTTACCATCATAGACATGACGGAATGGACTTAGTTGAGTATTCCTTAGCCAACTGTCAGATAATTTCGAAAGCGAACTACTGAAATCAAATTTCATGCAGGTTATTGCTCTTGAGATTGCTCAGTGCTTTCCCTACTGTATAGGCTCCATTTCCTTTGCCTCTCCAGAGGCCCAAACATCAGTTTTTGACAACTCCATAACGTATCGCATCGTCAAAGTTTATATGAAAACTAAGCAACGCCGTATCGGACGGAGGAACAGACTAGCTTTTGCCATTCAACATTTCACGATTACGATACTTTAGGGAGCTTTGAAAACTTTGTGCACGGTCTCTGTTTATTAAAACTGGATAAATTATACTAAAAAAAAACGATGATTAATATCAACCGTATATTTTAGATGGCACATGCGAAGGATTCGCGAACAGAGGCACGTGGAAAGGTTGCGTCAACGACAGCGGGATCCTTGGGGAGGCAACAATTCTTCGTTCCAGCAACCCTCCGTATTCACTATATGGCCCCAACCGCAGAGAGACGTCCGTTTCATAGAGATCACGGATACACTGCCGGTCATGGCCTTCGGAGAAATACTACCAGCATTGCCGGAGTCGTGAGTTGTTACATTACTATAATTATCTTGATAACTTCTTTATATTAGACGTGAAACGAGTTGAGTTAATTGTATAATAAATATATTAACATCACTTTGCACTCCTAGATCTAAAAAGGGTTTAAAAAAACGAGTTAAGTTTCATTAACGAGCTTTAGTATGAGTTAAAAAAACGAGCGAGGTTTACAGTAGTCGCGTATTATGTGTAACATTTGAAACCTCACCTTATATTACTAAAAAAAAGAAATAAAACTTACTACAAAAGGAATAAGCCATTTGAACATTATGTTCTAAAATCAAATCAAATAGCGCGCGCTTTCGCGACTTCCTGTTACACACTTCCGTCCCATTTCACGATCACTCCCACAAATTGCAGGAAAGCGAAAGGAAAGATGTTACACATCAAAAAACTCATAACGTAATCACGCGATTAATGGACTTGAATAGCAATTGCAAGTTTTATTATCAATGTATGCAAAAAATATAAGTGTTATCAAAATTGTTGTCTTGACTGAACTTTTTTCTTATTTATTCCAGTGACTTCGTGCTACCGTGGGTGAGAACTTCGAAAGCATTGAAAAGGTCCAAACGGTCTAAAACGTTACATTAGTAATGAAATAATCAAGAGGACTACATTGTTGATGTTTGGTTCTTAGATATAAATATTGATACTAATGCTTATATTGACGGATGAAATGAATGGTATGAAACGATGAAGTTTGTATAAATTTTTTCACTAAGGATTTAGTGCGAGTTCACAGCGCATTGAATTATTATTGCCTATATAAAATTAATGAGCGATATATAATGAATCGCTATTCTCTATCACCGGTTTATAGCGTAGCGTGATTAAACCAAACATAGTTTTTAGTAGGTATGTATATTTGAGTATAGTTTCAATGGTAAGGAACACTGTGTGCTCTCTAAATCTCGAAAGTTTCTGACGAATGCCTGTTTTTTTTTAATGTAAATACGCTTTTTATTATAATAACAGTGGGAAATGGACTGAACATTGTAAATATTGAAGGCATGTGATATGAATTTTTATGAATATTGGTTAGGATTGAGTATTTGTGTACTGTATGAATTTATGTTTTTGTCTGTATTCACAATAGGTTAGTGTGAGGAATGCCTGAGATGTTACAATTAGTATATTGACTTGTATCTTGAGAGCCAGTAGTCTTTCATTAGAACTTAGATGTGTGAGTCGGAGAGAATGTGTAAATGAATGTAATTATTATTTTTACATAAAACGTTTAAGATCAACACATGAATATGTTCAAAGCTGAAGAGAAAAATCATGAAAATGTATATTCAAACTGAAGTTAGAAATATTGGTTACTCAATAATAATATTGTAAATTAATAGCAAGTTGTTATTTAAGCATGCATTGCGGTAGGACAAAAATATCAAAATATTTGAGCGAAATGTTATTATAGGTCTTTAACATCTATTTATTGTAGTTGTTCGTCGAGCCTATATACAACTTTGGTTTTTAGTTGCCTGTATATCATTTATGTATTTTTAATGGAACATTTTATACATTTTAAAGTCAACATATTACCGCCACATACCGTCATTAGTGAAATATTGCGTTAACTAGTTAGCGAATACATTAGCATAACTGCCATGCGATTTGCTAATTTTACTATGCTTGCGATATATCCATACTAATATTACAAATGCGAAAGTGAATTTGTCTGTTTTTCTGTTGGGATTTCAAACTTAAACTGCTGAACAAAATTTTATGAATGCTAGCATATACATACACAAGACTTTGGAGAAGGGCAAATGTCGCTTTTTCTTATAAAAATAATACTAATTATAATGAAAGTTTGTATAGTGCGAATCAAACTTTGTGACGTTTAAATCCTATACATAACACAAACATTGGTGTCGATTCTGGTATGATTCTCTTATCTTTTTAATTTGGAAGAGCTTTTAATCTACGACTTTGTCTCACTTTAATACTAAAAAGAAAAAGAGACGAAATTGCAACGAACTAACGAATAGGGGTGATGACGGGGTACAGTAAACAAAATTTTATTTAGTCCGTCAGTTAGATGATCAAAAAATAATGGACAAGTATTTTTTCTTTGGGCCATCAACCAAAAAATTACAAAGTTATAGCGCGTCGCGCAAAGTTTGGGAGTAGGGGTTCGTGACGTCACTTTTAAGTGAAAATTGTACCAAAAAGTGACGTCATGCGACTTTTCAAATCAATATATCTCTGCAATGTTAATATTATGTGAAAAAAGAAAAAATACGTTTCCAATACTTTTTGATAATCTACCTGATAAACGAAGAAAAAAAATTGTCATCATCCCTATTATGCGCAGATCAGCAAAACCTGCGCGCATCGAAATTTCGTTAACTGAGCCGCCACTTGCACTAACTTCACAGCTGTTGTTTATTTTGAACCACATTATTTAAGGAAAGCAAGACGATGTTGCACGCACTTACTTCATTAGCAAAGAGTCGTAGAGTAAATTAGAAAAAAAAAACTTAAGTTTACATATAAAAATGAATATATATTATGCTAAGGTAGCAGCGATATAGTTTAAACAAAGTTAAAGGCTATTAATGCGGGTCTACAATTTTATATATTGCACAAAACAGAGTTACAGCAAGTAAAATTATTTAACACACTTAAAAAAACAATAGAGAAAGATATACTTACCTCCGCTAGTAAATATACAACACAGTAACAGTACTTAAAATCAAAGAAAATATTAATAATTACACTAAAATAAAATTGATTATTTTTTTAAAACTCTTAATTTTTGTAATGCTAATGGTTACTTTCCATCATTATTTAGGTTAACGATATTAGATCATGTTTTTTTTACCGTTGGATTTATTATCAACGAGTACAAACTTAAAATAAACATATTAAACTATCCAGCCGTGAAAATGAGTACTTTCTTTACTCAAGATCTGACAAAATATCAATGAATATGTTTAGAGATTTCATTCAACTTTATCTAACAAAAGTTAATACTCATCGCCGGATCAAAGTGGTCACATTCTATTTTAGGATTTACCTTTGCCTTACCCGACATAAACCGTTATAACAGTTAAATCTTTCAATCTTTTTATACCTTTTTCTCCTAGTTGATACCCCGCTACCTCACCTGCCTATAGAATAATAAATTGATTTCATATACAAACTTTCATTATATCTATTTCACTACGATCAAGTTTCGTTTTTGCGGCTAAAAGTATAGTATATTCCCTTCTTTCATGTGCTCCTTGTTTTACACCATACTATAATACATCAAACTTGATCAACGGTTTAGACATAACCCGTAACAGAAAAATGGACAGTAGTTTGGCATTTACAAGATTAGTAGTATATTATAAATAGAAGCCGAATTGCGACTTTTTGGGAGAAAATTATGATGATTTTAAAGTTTTACCGAAGGATTCCTTATGCGATGTGTTTTATTACGTTTTTAGTACGCAAATTATTAGAGTAAATGATTGTATATACTTTTATTTTTTTACTGAGCAATACTTTTCTTTATTATGGTTTAGTACAAGTATTTTTTGAATTTCTTGCAAAATAACTAAAACAATTTTTTTTACACCAGACCTATGCTAGAATACCGTGGCTGCAGCTGTTTTGAATATAAAATCTGGCCAAGTGTGAGTTAGATTCGCATATACGATTGAAGAATCTTATATGCGAATCTAACTCACACTCAGTACAAAGTCCCGTTTTCGACTTCACATGTGCTTTTAAAACCTTACTTGAATAAATTATAACGAAGAATCTACAAATTAAATGTCTAAAAACTGAGGGTCAGGTCAATTTGTAGTAAAGTCAGAAATTAAGGGGAATTTTGAATTTCGTCACTTTCATTCGTAGGATGTTGTGACAGTTTGAGTTTTTTTTCTTTTAATTATTATTTTAACAGTTATGATGCTATCTCATACATAGTGCAGTTGGCCTTAAAGTTCAGACAAAAGTGGAGAAAATGTATCTCCTCGCGCTATGTTTGAGTCCACCTTTATGTTTTACGTGGAGTATCATCTGTTTTGTTATTATTCTTTTTTAATTCATCGCCACCAATATTTGTTAGTAACTTACAATAACATTCCAGAGTAATATATATTTTTATGTAATTCTGCTAAGCGTTAATTTTAAAAAGCTTTTTATATCTTCATGCTTTTGTTGTAGGCACTTTTGAAGAAACAAATGGTTTGGATATTTTTATTTTATATGAGAACAGAGTTCCACAATTTTATGTCACAAAAGTCCTGACCGTTGGAGTACAAAAAACATGTCTCCCATTTATGGTTAGCAGCTTATTAGTCATATTGCATTTGACGTATTAATATTATTGATATAATTGGTGAACTTATATAACAAGAGGCCTCCTTGATTATTTAAATGAGTATACTGTACTATATGTATAGTAGTTGTGAGATAGTACAGTGTGAGTTATTTTTACGCCACAATTACAACAAGGAAACTGAAATGAGTCAGTAGCTTAACCAAACTTACTTTATATTAGATTAGGCCTACTACGACACGATTTGTATTTTAAACTTAAACGGAAATTTAAGAGTTTTGATCCATTTTCCAATGGGCGCAGCCATTGGAAAATGGAGTCGTGACACGCGCGCAGGCCATATTTAGTTTCTTATCTTTTTATAATTGGGTACACGTGCAGCTCTTCTATATTAGCGTCACTAGAATTTGAAAATTACGTTAACATACATTTACGTGATCGCAACATGATTGTAATTAAAAGTGTAGCCATTGCAAAAGCACCTTTACTAACACTAGCAAGAAGTTTATATTTATGCAACTTAAAAACCAAAGCGAATATGTATGCTTTGAATTATTTCGAATAATAATTAAAAATATTGTACATAACACTATGTTACATATTAAGTTTGAATTAATGGAAATTTAACAAATAAGAAATAGAGGTTTGTAAAGATTAAGTAGCCCATGGTCTTGGAGTAGCCATTTTTAGATTTTAACACCGTGTCCATGAAGGACATTTAACTTATTTTTTACATATGTTTCACGAAAATTCTGAGCAGACTATTGAAATTATTCGTATCTGTATAGTTTACAAGTATTAATTATTTCAGTCAAATTTAACATTATACCAATGACAACGTATTAAATATGTTTTGGTATAGAAAATGAGATAATCTTTTGCATTATTTACAATCGAATCGAAATCTCGTTTGGTGGTTGCATAGTCAAGAATGCTTCCGTTTGTTTGTGAATTAGCAAAGATTACTTTATGGTCGGAGGGAAGGGTACATCAATCTAACTTGGCTAATGCCCAATACTTACAACATTTTTAAAAGTTGCAGGTGTATTAATTTAACTACAATTACTGGGCTTAGTAATGGTGTGCAAAGCACTTGCCCAATGAAAACATTTTTAATGTTGTAATAATTGCATGTGTGTATTAGTTAATAACTTCCACAAGACAGCAGCTTTGTTGTGTTTTCTATAAGTAATGTTAATGTAATGAAATTTAGACCTCAAAGGTTTTTTAATTATCTTTAGGATGTGCTGCTCCAAAAGGAAATGTCAAATCATTAATGTTCACGAAAAATATTATATTCCTTCCAAAGAATCTTAAGTGTAATATGTCTACTGGTTATGTTGGCTAATTTATTTAATAAATGAGTTGTTCGTGGTGAAATCATTATTTTTGTATGTTTAGAATTGATAAGATCCATCACATTGTAAATATAGTACTGTTGAATAATTTACTGTAAGACCATTATGGTTTATAATTTTCATATTTTTATGTAATAAGTGCCGATGTAATTAAATATAAATTTTTTTGAACTTGTTTTTGTCAAAAGTAATATTATGTTTATTTAGTATTTATGGCAGGAATATCCTTAATTTTTCTATAACCAAAAGTTGATCTAGGTCACTGAAAATTGGGATAAGATTGTGACTAGATGTGATCATCGTGACAGTGATCTGAACTCCGCGTTCATTGAATTTTACAACACCTTTTCAAATAATTTCACACCCGAGAAAATTTTGCCCAAAGCATTTTTAACATGTTTACTTATAATATTCATTGCATTTTAGTATTTTTTGAAATGAAGAAAATCGTAATAAATAGTGTTTTAAATGATTCTCTTACGTATAAGTGTATTGAATAAAATAGTTTGTGCCTAGCAGCAGTCGTCGTTGCAGTTGTCTTTGGATCGAATTTGCAAACCTTCTAGCTGCAATACTCACTCAGAGCCGTCAATTATTTTTAAGTTTTATTAAAGTTGAAGCTGTCACTGCATTTGCAATTTTTTACCTTGACAAGTATTAAATTTAAATGGCGTCTCTGGGTCTGGCCCTAATTATATTTGTGGTTTTTATTATATACAAGCCTAGATACCGTATCAACTGCACGAAAGAAATCTACTCCATAAGGTAGTTAACCTTATGGAGTAGATTTTTTTTCGACGCTCGTCGCTAAACATTTCACACATAAACAATCTGATAATATAGTCACGCTCACATTGCGCGGAATATGAGCCGCTTTCTTTGCGTGGTTTATTTGGATTTGTCTATGTAGGCGTGTATATTATCAAAGATAGGTATGCCTGCAATATGTATGATAACTGTTGGTCTTATTAATCGGTGACAGCGTTATATTAGTTTTTGTCTAGCCAAAAATTGGTTTTCGTCAAATCCAATAGAATCGAATGTAAACGTTTATCTGACCTTTTGCAATGCTGTTACTATACTTATATATAGTCGAAAGTTAATTAATGTCTATTGATGGTACCTAATTTTTTATGACCGTTCGTTCGGTTTGGATAAAAGCCATCTTGCCCATGGGTGTTGTTATATTTATCCAATAATTCGTTATCAATGCGGTTCTGTGTTAGGATGGTCGAGATCGTAGCATCACAGAGATCAATTAATTTATTATTAATACCGCAATAACGTCACAGAAATTCATGTACCGGTCACCCACTACACGTTACGAAGGTACTTCGGTTTTGAGGAACTATAGTTTATATAGTGAAAATTAACAAGATCTCATTAATGTTAATATCGCAAACGCAAAGTTGAGTAAGTAGTTAACATTTTACTTGCAAGCACCAGAAACTAATATCACCTTTCTTTGAGCACTGTCAATGAACATACATATAATATGATGCATAACATTCACGACCGTTCCCAGCAATTTTTCGCCGGTAAGCTTACCCGAGCTAGGTTTTCACTTTTTAGAAATTTATTGGAAAGTAACATCGGTTTTTATAAAATAAACTATGATAAATCCAACGAATTGGAAATAATATGGAATACAAACTGCTCTGAAGTGATTCCACTCGGACTGCGATCAAATGGGGGCGGGGCGAAAAAAATGCGGTCAACACGCCGATCATGGGATTGGTTGGAATTTCCGTGTAACATTATCTTACCCAGTGAAGGAATAGCCGAATTCAATTGCAGATATTTGATTTGCCAAATTATTTTGTTTTGTCTGTGTACGTGTCTCGTTAAAATTTTGAAGTTTAATTTTATGAGTTTGGAACCATGTTTTAACCTTTAGTAAAGATTAAGGCTTCCTTATCATTTTTAATTCGTTGGATAAATCTTCTCACAAATAGGACGTGAGAAACAGGCATTAGAAACCGACTACTTAAATAATTAATAATGTTTAACTTTGATTTGTAATGAAACTTGTTTCCAGTTCTTTATCGCTGTATTTGTATATCTTTCTTTTATAATCGCAACAAATTGTAAAATAGTATGTTTAGGTATATGATATGGCATTTATTAAATAATCTCAAAAAGTGGTATGTTTCAGTGTACAAGTTAATAGTGTGTCTGACACTATTAAATTACTTAGGTAGTTTAAATATTTATCTTCCCTTTATCTGTAAGAGATTTATTTCAATTTAATTACGAATTCATGTGATACTTCAGACTAAGTTGTATAAGTACATGGAAATAAAGGACCTTTGACTTTAGAAACTTGTTGATTTTTATTTTAATAAAGAACTTCTGCCAATACAACACTGAAGTTTGTTAAGGTCAACCTTCGTTGATACCAGTACCCTTAACACCTCATTTACACTTAAAAACATGTCATAAACTAGTTTTATACAAAACTTAAAGAATACTTGTTGTGGTTAAAACATTTTTTCGTTTACATTGCATAGACAACTAGTATCTTGACAAATATCAATCACCCATTTACTTCACAATTTTGTTTATCCAACATATATTTATCTGTCTCCATATTAAATGCATGGGTGCCTGGTATCACAAATTTAATGTCTGTCTATGTGTTGATACAAATACTCAACGAGCCTGCAGTCGTCATACTGCACAACATCAACAAAACCGTACAGGATATACCTTGTCTCCTTTAACACAGACATTGGCAGAAGCGTCACGTAATGAGACGCAGCCATAATCACCAAAAATTGAATTGAAGATTGATGCATGTATTGTATACTAAATGTTTTATACATGTATATGTGTGAACAAAAAATAAAGACATTGTATAAAAATTTACAGATACATGTATTATACCTTGGTGTAAACGAGGGGTAACACGAACCAATATAGAAAACGAATAGTTTGGAAGTGCGAAATGTCAGTCAAATTTTGTATGGAAACTGAAACAGCAGCGCCATAAAGGACGTAACGAGAACTAAAAATCAGTACACATTTGACGTATAAAATAAATCGTTCGTGCTAAGGGTACTGCATAATATAGGCTCAATTTATACAGGGTTACAGGGAAAGTCGTACTGAATATTGAAGGACGTTATTATTCAGGTCATTTCTGATGGATTTGGTCCTATAATATGGTGTCCGAAACTTAACCGTTAAGGAGATATTGGATATTAAAGATTTTTTTAAAAAATCCTATATTTTTTGGGTTATTGTCGATATTTTTGAAATTAGAGCTCCAAAGGTCCGATTTTTTAATGTATCTAGTTGGAAGACATGTCAAGCAATAAAAATAATGAATAAAAACTGAACCTACTTCTAACGGCTTAAAAAACTGCTCGACAACGGTTATAACTAAAGAATTTTCACCAAGTGCTCTTAACTTTGAAGCGCTTTTCTAAAAAAAAATGTATGGAACTTATTCTGCATATAATTTTAAAAACTTCTACGTCTCTTTAGATATTCAAAAAGGTATAACACTTGCTATTAAATTGGAAAAACATTGACCAAATAACAGTTATGGTAGCAGAGGGTACATTTTTAGTTTGAGGTAAAAATAGCAAAAATACGTAAATAAAACCAAAAAAGCTTAGTAAATATTTTTATAATTCATGTTCAACATGGCCGCCGCTATTTCTAACACATATTCTCAATCTTTTTGTTAAATTACTTTTTAAGTTCCGCCTCATATCCTCAGCTGCATCAATAATCCTTTGTCGCAAAATATCGATATTTGCGATCGGCATCATCTGGTCGTATACAAGGCTTTTCATTATTATGTGTGGGGTCATATGAAAAGCCTTATAAATATCGATATTTTGCGACAAAGGATTTATTGATGCGGCTGAGGATATGAGGCGGAACTTAAAAACTTCTGTAGTAAAAAGTAATTTAAGAAAAAGATTGAGAATATTGTGTTAGAAATAGCGGCGACCATGTTGAACATGAATTATAATTTTTAGCAGCTCGATGGCGCAAGTGGTTAGCGCGTTCGGCTGCGATCGTTGAACTTAAGCAACTTTCGCAGTGGTCGGTCATTGGATGGGTGACCAAAAATTACTATCTCGAGCTCCTCCGTGCTTCGGAAGGCACGTTAAGCCGTTGGTCCCGGCCGCATCTGCAGTCGTTAGCACCCACCAATCCGCACTGGGCCCGCGTGGTGGGTCATGGCCCAATCTCCCTATTCAATCAATAGGGAAGGCCTGTGCCTCAGCAGTAGGCACATTAATAGGCTGGTGATGATGATGATGATGATGCTTTTCTGGTTTTATTTACGTATTTTTGCTATTTTTACCTCAAACTAAAAATGATCCCTCTATGCTACCATAACTGTTATTTGGTCAATGTTTTGCCAATTTAATAGCAAGTGTTATACCTTTTTGAATAGCTAAAGAGACGTAGAAGTTTTTAAAATTATTTGCAGAATAAGTTCCATACATTTTTTTTAGAAAAGCGCTTCTAAGTTAAGGACACTTGGTGAAAATTCTTTAGTTATAACCGTTGTCGAGCAGTTTTTGTAAGCCGTTAGAAGTAGGTTCAGTTTTTATTCATTATTTTTATTGCTTGACATGTCTTCTAACTAGATACATTAAAAAATCGGACCTTTGGAGCTCAAGTTTCAAAAAATCGACAATAACCCAAAAAATATAGGTTTTTTAAAAAAAAAATTTAATATCCAATATCTCCATAACGGTTAATAGTTATAAGTTAACGGTTATAAGTTTCGGACACCATATTATAGGACCAAATCAATCAGAAATGACCTGAATAATAAGGTCCTTCAATATTCAGTACGACTTTCCCTGTAACCCTGTATACCGATTCAAACTTTACAAAGGCAGTTTTTAGGCTTTACAAAGAGAAATCCACACTTGGGCAACAACTTAATGAAATCCCTATTTTATTCTTGGTAGGTAGTAATGCGTAGGCACTAGTTCCGCCCAAAATTCTACTTATATTTATTAAAGAAAAACAATATATTAAATTATAGACATTTATTTTATTGAAACATAAATAATTCAATCATTTTACAATAATTAATAAATAACATTCACCAAGTATAACAAATCTTATTGTAAAATAAGGTCATGGTATCGGACACCGCTTTTAATGCTAATAAGCTCAAACAAAATATTTGGTACTTAGCTATTTAAAACGAGTTTTTAAGTGAAGTTGGGTATCACAAGATTGTCTACCATTTTGTCCATCCATGATTTCGAGTCTAAAATGTATATTATACGGTATTCTAAATATCGCAAATTATAATATGATACAAGATTCTTAAAAAAAAGAAGTAAGATAAAGAAAATAATAATTTTCCCAACAGGAAATTGGGTCACGACTCCATTTGCACGGCCTAGCGTGGGCTTGGCCAAACTAAAGCATATTAAACTTGAGATTTTGTGACATAAGAGAACATGTGTTCCAAAACACGCTTTTATGGTCGTCAATCAAGAAAAAAAAAATTTTTTTCGTAGTAATAAGCATTTACATTTGTCAATTTAAAAGTGGAAAGAAACTTCATCAATACCAACCGTTATCTGCGATAGAAAAAATGGCAGTCATATTACATTACATTTTAATAACTATTATTGATCTAAAGTATGTAAAATAAAGATATATTAAAAATAACCTAACAGGCACACAAACACATAAGGCACACAAATGATTTATAAGTTCGTCAAAAATGCTAATAAACTAGGGATCATCCTAAGCTTTATTCTATTTCAATGCAGTACAATGTAAAATTTTAATATAATATGTAATTAGAAATAGTAAAAATTATCCGGTGTTATTGTGTTGCATTTATACTTTCTATAATTCTAATGTGTGATAGAAGTAATTAATCAAGTTACAACAGTAAAAATGCCATGATCAGTATCAAAATTAGAACTTGTTGATTTATATGGCAGGATTGATAGTTAAACAATAAGATTATCATCAAATTTCATAGATTGACAAATCAGATTATAACATAATGACACCATTAGAGAGAACCTTAGTTTCAGAACTTAGAGCCATCTTCCGCCTTCTATAAAGAACATTGTAAGTAGATTAATATTTTCATTTGCTTAGTTTATTACCAAGCGTGTGACAGAGGCAAATAATCGAAATGTAACATGAATTTATTCTTTGACAAATCAGATTATATCATTACATAAAGACACCATTACAGAGAACCTTAGTTTCAGATCTTAGAGCCTATCTTCCGCTTTCTATAAAGAACATTGTATGTAGATTTTTTTTTTTTCATTTTCTTAGTTTATTACCAAGCGTGTGACAGAGGCAAATAATCGAAATGTAACATGAATTTGTTCTATAACGGAAGGAAGATCGGAACTACAAATTTAAATATACTATCCCTTTTATAATCAGTGTATAAGAAACTGAAAGAGATAAAGCTACAAACAAATCGAAATCTAATCCAAAATTGGACCATGGACCTTGTAAGCAACGAATTAAAAGTTAAAGATCTGACAAAACACAATCACCTATCTGTACATTGTTATTGCATAAAGAGTAAAATTAAAATAAACAATAGACTGATATTGAATCATAATTAAAGTTGTACTATTTAGTCTAGGCAACGAAAAGGTATAGAGGGAAATGCTTAGAACACAATTTTTGACTTCGTAACTTTGTTAGGACTAGTAAGGAGGTAAACATATCAAAAGTCCCCGCAAGTAGCCCTTAAGCCGGGGGGAAGGGGGGGGGGGATTGAAGGTCCCATTTTTGGGTTTTCGCATATATCTCGGAAACTATGCATCTTAGCGACATGAGACTTTGACAAAAGTGAAAGCTGATTAAATTTGCTACAAGTCTTATTCTTGTAAAGTTTTCGAGATATCCGCTCTTAAAAGTCTGTAATTATGGAAAAAAAATTGCTTCACATTTTTGCTCTATTTGACTGGATAACTCTTCAACAATGCCGGCCGTAGGGTTGTTGGTTCCCACCAGTGAGCAGCATGCAGATTTCGGACAAGCCCGCCAAAACAAGGATGGAGCTGACATTGCCAAGCTCACCGATTGGTTTGAGAAATTTCCTCCCTTCCCAGAGACCAGAGACATTATCAAGTCACCAGAAATCCAGAAAGCAGCAGCGGTCTTTTCACACCCTTTCTCCACCACCGCTCAAGAACAAAAGGCAGGTGAAACCTGCATCTTAAGGTGGTATGGAGCTCCAGCGAAAGAGATTTCCCTAAATGCCTACAGGTACAAGTCATTCTTGAAATCAGTGGCCACCATCAAGCCTGATATCTCTTGTCTTCCTCCCACCGAGGGAGCAGTAAAACAGCATTCCCAGGAAGTGGTGGCAATTTTTTTTCCATAATTACAGACTTTCAAGAGCGGATATCTCGAAAACTATACAAGATATCAAAAAACTTGACTGAATAGGACTTGTAGCAAATTTAATCATCTTTCACTTTTGTCATAGTCTCATGTCGCTAGGATGCATAGTTTCCGAGATATATGCGAAAAACCTAAAAATGGGACCTTCAATCCCCGCCCTTCCCCCCGGCTTAAGGGCTACGGGCGGGGACTTTTGATATGTTTACCTCCTAACTTAAAACCTAACCTAACAAAAATTGTGTTCCAAGCATTTCCCTCTATACCTGTTTTTGAGCATTCGTTGCCTGGACTATATTGATAAAGTAAGCTGTTATAATAAGGTAGACATCGATTTAATTAAGAATATTATATCTATTATTTTTTGTGAAACCTTATTATGGAAGAGACGAAGGAAAAGAAATTACTTAAAAAAAAAGGATTGCAGCTCTATTACTACTGACGTAAACATTAAAAGAGTAAGTATGCTAACTATGTATTTAAAACATAAATTAAAGTGACAAAACGAATTCATTGCGATCACTAGTCTTTTTACAATCTGCTTAAACAGTTAAAAGATATAGGGCCAAAATGTAATAGTCAAACTTAAAAATACAGTACAGATGGATAAGCTGAAACTTCTATCAGAAACGAGGTTAGTGATTATCGCATGTACAGTTTAAGCAGACATATTTAACTAACATATAATAAAGTCCCATTTTGCTGTTAACTTACCTCAAAACTAAAGGTTGAGTATATCATAGTCCCGCTAGAAAGCAAATTCGTATTAATTATTTAATATTCAAAATGTCAGTTGGTTTTAAATAGACAATTAATACATTGCGTTTCTAAACAAAAGACATCAGTCAAATTTCACTAATAGTTGTCTGTATCTACCTACTTGTATTTATTGCAAAGCTAACACTCATAAATTTGTTAATATTAAGTATTTCCTACAACTTGGCACCGCGTCCACGAGCTACTTTCAATTTAATTCTACTTAAAATTACGAACACGGATAATAAGGAAAGTATTTTTTGTCTGCCAAATCATATAATCATATCGACACAAGTAATTCCTAACATTCAGAAAGGTTTTGTTTTGTGGAAACGAAGGAAATATACGAGCCATGAAGAGATCTCGATTTCCAAATTAATTGAAGACCGACATAGTATATTCATGCAAAATTCAGTTGCTGTTTAAATAAAGCTCTTAAAGTATGCAGGTAATTTAAATTATTGAAAAGATATGTAATTGAGAAACAAATATAATATATAGTTGAGGAGCATCTGTTCGAAAGGGGCTATTTCCTATGCTGCGTAAATGTTGATAAAATTAAAAAAACGATTTGCTAATTTGATGATGTATGTGAAGTGTATTTTTTTTATTCAGGTAATTCATGAGGAGGCCACTTATTTTTAGGGTAAATTATTTATTATTGTTATTATTAAAAAGCACAAAATTAAGTAATTAAAAATAGAAATAGCACTTTTTGGTCGGACATTCGGAAAATAGAATCTGGAATGATAATAAATAGCATCAACAAATAAACTTTTAGATTTTTTTTTATTAATTGGAAGCTACATTTATGCCAAAATATATAAACAACTTGGCATGGATAATTGTCATTACTTTTTAAGATAAAAAAACATGCATTATGTCAAACTCTATCAAATTTGCAACTGAAATTTGCAACAAAAAAATCTTCAAAAAATATTGAAAATACAAAAATATGTGTCGACTTTTAAATGAGCTAACAATAGCACCGTTTGCATAGAACCGCGAATTTAAGTACAAATTTGAAGGGGAAATAATCACTTTCGATCAAGACTAAACACAGGCTGTGATAATATCTTAGACTACCAGTAGAATTCGCGGAAAAAACTATGAGTCAGTAAATACGGAAATAGCCTCCTTTGAACAGACGCTCCTCAGTTGTTATTCATTTATGTTAAAACGTTTGTACAGATTCAGTAAAGTTTGGCACACGAAAAGAGCGAGCATACCTCGAATTAGATAATTTACTTTTATATAATTCAGGCAAAGAACAACTAGTAAAGTACAATGAGATAAAACCTAACAAGTTGAATCACAAGACTTCAATTTAAAATGTTTCTTACACACAAGAATTAAAGGCTTTATTTGAATAGCAAACGTCTAATATGAACTTTTAATTTACTCTTTGTAAAGCTTGGTTGCCAACGATAAACGGTTGCCAACGACTAACATATTTCTTAAGTGACAATTGTAACTAACATAGATTGATCAGTGTAATGTTTTAATAAATTTGATTTGATAAGATTAAAGTTTAATAGGCTCGTGAATGTGGTGATCATCGCATATCAACATAATACTATTTCATTACCTCAAAGACCAGAGTAATGCCATTAACGCAAGTCGTAATCTCCACACAAAGAAACGCCGTAACTCTCACTCCTATTAAGTAATAATAAAAACTATAACGTATGATCATCAGAAATTCATATTTTTTTAAAATACCATAATACAATAAGCATTACTTGTCAAATATATGTAAATATTTTGATAAAATATATCAACACCAATTGTGAGAACATTTAATAGCAAGCGGACTTTTATTAAATATATTAGGTACTACATTATTACATAAATATCAAAAAGACGCGACGAATAGTGTGCAATACTCGAGTATTTAGCGTAACTAAAAAAATATCGTGCATTATATGCCAAATTCGATATTATAGGCACGCGTAAAGATATTAATACAGTTTGGCATTAAACTGCTCCTATTGCAACGGAATAAGGCACAGGATATGTCCAAATGTATACATATTTTTAAGACGCGATTGTACAGTATAAGGATAGTGGTCTACGACTTAGGCGAAATTTACTTGCAGTCGTTCAAATAATTACCTTGTTTCTTTCGAAAAATCGAGCACAAGGGATAATAAAAACCTTAAAGTAGTACATCTTTTAGCGTTTATGGGAAGGTAGTGTATCATTTATTTGATATGTCACTACTGTCAGTTCCAAGCTACCACGTTGTATTTCACGACGCGACAATTTGGTAAAGGAGTTTTTGTTACACAAGCATTTCTAAGGGAGTTTCGAAGACGTCTCGTATGTGAAATACATTTAACCGTAAAGCTTAACTTCGGTTTCAACGCAATTCTTCATTAAATCATCGAGCTCTTCAAGGTTACTCTGACCGTTTTCGAATTTCTTCGTGAACTCATCAATCTCGGCGAGGCATCCTTGCTCCATATCTTGCAACACTTTAGATATCTTGGTATTGCCAGACTTCAGTACATGTTCAGCGTGAAGTTTGTAGAGATGATGTTCCCTTTTTTTCTGTAGGCCAAATCAATAAAGCATCTTATAAATAGAAAATATTTTTCGAGTTCCTACAGGAACCTGACATTTTTTGGGGATAACATGTATCCTGTCTTAAACCCGTTCAGTAGTTATTGCGTGATTGAGTAACAAACATACAAACTTCCACATTTATTATAAAAGAAGGATTATCTAATATATAAAACAAGCTGTGCCCCGTGGTGTTACCCGCGGTTTATTACGGATATTTTCCCGAATTAAAACGTAGCCTATGTGTTAATCCAGGGTGCCAGCTAACTCCATACCAAATTTTATTAAAATCGCTCCAGCCATTCAGACGTGAAGAAGTAACAAACATACACACTTACAAACTTTCGCCTTTATACTATTATTGTGATTGTGATTCTCGTATCACGGTGTGCGTAATTGAACTACTCCGAAACGGCTCGACCTATTTTCATGAAATTTTATATCCATATTTAGTAGGTCTGAGAATCCGACAATATCTATTTTTCATCCCCCTAAATGTTAAGAGTCCACCCTGAAAATTTTTTTTGGACAAAGATTTATTTTATTATGATACATCATACAAAAATACATACAACCCTAAATTTTCACCCTTCTACCACCAACCCCTATTTTTTATGGCGGTACGAAGTTCACTGGGCTGGTCATTATATAATAATATAAGTACGGTAGGACATTGCAGTTTCCGTCCGAATCGCAGCGCTCGTGTGGATAAGTAATCTCCACCTTCCGATAATATCAGATATAATTAATGTAAGTTTTTTTCTATCTTACTGGATATTTTTTATTTATTTATATCAAATACTTATGGCAATAGATACATATAATATATTAATATCAATGAATTTGACCAATTTACTGTGAAATTCTATTGAGTTGCCCTTAAATAATATAGAGAAATAATTTATTTGATAATGATAGTCGAAATTGTAATGGAATTAAATGAAAATCCAATATTTTTGCTTAATAACAATATACTACCATACCTCTTCAGTGCTGCTTATGGTGTAAGGAGATATCTTCGGGTTTGGCGTGAAAATGAACGGTTTGAAGTATGAGACGCTCGGATCAGGAGTTGCAGTAAACCAGTGGACGTTCACATCGGTAGCTGTCAAACTTGACACCTAAAAAAATAGATTAATATGAAAATCATTATTAACGATGTCTTTACGTTAGTAAATTATAAACAGGTATTTATAAAAAAAATGTGCGTTTTAAAAGTGCTTACGTCGGAAATATTAAAGATAATGAAAAATTTACTTAATACCAAAAATTTTGATGAGCTTAGACAAAGTGCCGTGTTTAAAAACAATTTATTACAAAAAAATATGATGAGTACAGAATAAGTGCTGTACTTTAAAACCAACTTACCTGGCTTCCTTGAGTTGGAAATGTATCATCGCAGCCTCGACAAATCCGACTTTCTTTGTGTCTCAGTATACCGAACATGTCTTTGACGTCAAAACTCGAAGTAGCAGTTCCGAGTTGCAACAATTTTCTACCTTCCTCCTGTCGTACTTCGTCACCACCGGAAGAGAAGCATTTGGTGAAATTAAACTCCCCCTATAAGATTAACAGTTGACTCAAACAAATTGGTAATAGGGTATTTGACAAGTTTTAGGAAACGCTCTCACGGTGTTGACTAATGTTTATGGAGTCCGTAACAAGTGGAAATTCATCATTCTGTTGTGTATTTCAGTAAAAATAACAGGTTTTAAGGAAAATTATGAATATTTTATTTGTAAAAATAGTAAAAACCTCTGCCAATATTCAATCTAAACACAGATGCTAACAATCGGCACTTTATTTTTAATACTGTCGAAAACCCTATAAAGGTACATAGTTATTTTAAGGCAACAATATTTTCTAGCACCTAAGTTTAGATTTATCGCTATTAATTGAAGAGCTGGCGAACAAAACGGTATAATTACGCATCTTGGCAAACTCCTTTTTTTACAGTCCAGAGATTTCGCGTCCGTTGAATTTAACCACATAATACCGTGTTAAAATTACTAAATTTATAAATTAAAAACCACGCCAAAACCTCACTGCAGGTATGTCATTCAGTTATATACAGCTCCTGTAAAATTTAATTTTATGTATTAAATATAATAAAACCATACATATGAACTCACTTGACCATCCCACAAGCCCATGTTCTTAGCTTTCGCCTGCAAATTCTCCGAATGTTTATCTATCTTTGTCGTTATTGTCAGTCCGTTGGAGATGTTCCTATATCCAGATTCTATTTTCTCAGCTGCCCACAGTTTCCCGCTGGTCTCCAACACCCAAGCCTCTTTTGGATCGGCTATCAAGAATGAGTTGTGGTAGAAGTGGCTGTCATCAAGTTCTGAGCAAGGGCCTCCTTGGCCATACTTTTCTAGAAGAGTGGTTATTACATTGAGTGCTTCTTCTGCCGTGTTCCCTCTTTCAAGGCCTAATCTGAAAAGACAATATACAATGAGATGACTTTTACATTGCTTATTCTTTTATTTTATTTCTGCTGTACTAATTATGGTTTGAGCACCCGAAATTGTATGTAAAGTTTAATAAACCAAGTTTTCAGTAAGAGAAACAGGAATGCAACCATTAGAATACGTTTCTTCTTTTGGCCATGATCCATGGTCGTGTTGGAAGGTGTATTATGTATGCCATACACACTACGAGAAATCGTTACGATCAGACTGTACAGTTCGAACGGAACAGTTTATCGTACGTGGCGTACGTGTGCAGTTTTATAACATACACACTACGATTTATCGGTACCGTTCGGACGGTACAGTCTAATCGTAACGATTTATCGTAGTGTGTTTGGCTACCATTATAGTAATAGAGGTACCTATAAGTAGTTCTTGAAGATATTCTTTAAGTCTTCGGTATAAGAAAAAAGTTGCCTAGATCCATTTGTCAGACTGTTCATTCCGATGCCTGTGTTGGAATTAGCATCATTGCAAATATACCTAGCATGCTCCGTGTGCCGGCGAGATAATGACGGCCCTACAGTGACGACATTAAAGTCAAATATACCTACAACTTAGTATTGTTACATCGATTTTACTTTGCACCAACAGGAAAATATAGGGCCATAATTACCTTTACATTTTATCATAAAATATTTGATATTTTATCAAACAAATTATACTTTTAATTCATATCAGAATAATAAATTTTTGTTTCATACATTTGATTATCAGTTTCTGGTAACAGCTGATATTGTAATGTCTTAACAATAAAAGTCTTGTGTACAAAACAATGTAACATGCTTCCACGAAACATGGTGCTTGTTCATATACTTAAGCTTAATTTTGACGATCTCCGTAGCCGAGTGGTTTGTACGCCGGGTTTCATGGTGTCGCCAACTCGAGAGGTCCCTCCCGGGTTCGAATCCCGGTGGGGGCAGATGTTTGTGTGATGAATACGAGCATTTGTACTCCAGTCATGGATGTTTAATATGTATTTCTATATAAATATACTCATATATGTACAGTATATGTATTCTATCCGTTACCCTAGTATCCCATAACACAAGCCTTACAGTGCTTACTTTGGGGCTAGGCTAATTAGTGTGAGTGTTGGAAATATTTATTTATTTATTATTTATTAAATTCAAGTTGCTATAGCCTAAAGAAAAGGGATGGTGACTAACTTTTTTCGGTGGGTGAGTTATTAACTGAATACTTATTCCAAACCAACCTTAACATCATGAACACACAGCTCTAGGTACCAAACTATCATAGATATAACACTAGCGACACACGCGGTGGCCAATCTAATCGAAGGATGGCACGTGTCAAACGAACCCTCCTTTGCAGACCACCGCAGGATATGTTTCCAATTACAATACAAACAAATAGACCCTGTTCCATATCGCAACCCCCGAAAAACAGATATAGCAAGGTACAAAGAACTGATGAAAAACAGATATAGCAAGGTACAAAGAACTGATAACTAAAACACTAAGCGAGATGCAAATACATGATGAAATTCTTGACATAAACAACATAGAAACAAACGTACAGTTCTACACTTCAGCACTTCTTAAAAGCTACGAACTGACGTGTCCTACCATCGTACCGAAAGGCCTGGGTAAAAGTTCCTGGTGGGGGCCAGAACTTGAGAGACTACGTAAGGAACTCAGGAAACTTTTCAATCGAGCGAAAAATACCAGAACCAATGAGGACTATGACAGATATAAAAAAGCACAAAAACACTACAAGAAGCGGATCAGATTCCGGAGTAGGGAAGGATGGCGAAGCTTCTGTAGTTGTGTCAATTCAACAAATCAAGCTGCCAAGAAAGAAAAATCAAGAAAGTTCTGTCCAAGGACAACTCCAACCTCCTTGGATCTCTGAAAAGGGAAGACGGCACTTATACAAAAACAGAAGAAGAAGCCAATGCGGTGCTACTGGAAACCGACTTCCCAGGATGCCAACTGGCGCCTGGCTTTGAGTGGTCGACTGAGCACCACAATGCACCAACAACCCAGGAATGGGACCTGGCAAAAACAATAGTAACGGCGGAAAAGATAGAATGGGCTCTAAAAAGCTTTCATTTAAGTCAGCAGGACTAGATGGTATATTCCCGGCGCTACTACAATGGCAACTCGTTCAGGCAATTAGATACCTACAACCAATCTTTAGGGCCTGCCTGGCCTTCAAGTACATACCAAAACCATGGAGGAAGGCAAACGTAGTCTTCTTACCGAAAGAAGGCAAGGACGACTATACACAAGCCAAATCCTTCAGACCAATAAGCCTAACCTCTTTTCTCCTGAAAACATTGGAAAGACTGGTAGACCGACACACCTTAGGGATGGAGCACTAAGTAAGGCTCCGCTGCACCCTCAACAACATGCCTACAGAAAAGGCAGATCAACAGAGTCGGCACTGCATGCAGTAGCCCACAAAATAGAGTCGGCAACCACAAATAAAACCTCAACATTGGCAGCCTTCATAGACATAGAAGGTGCTTTTGACAAAACGATGCACAACAGCATTAACCACGCCCTAAGAAAACTCAAGGTGGACCAAGTCACCAAAGGTTGGATCACCGAACTGGTCGGCCAAAGGGCGGTTCAGGTAGTGGGGAACGCTACCACGCGTGCGAAGGTAGTTAGAGGATGTCCCCAACGGGGAGTCCTATCACCACTTCTCTGGAACATAGTAGTGGACAGTCTTCTACTGAGTCTGAATGACAGAGGATACACTACTATTGGTTATGCGGACGAAGAAACAATTCTGATAAATGGGAACGCTGAAAATGTCCTTTGCAAGATTATGCGTTCAGCCCTTCAGATTGTGGAAAAATGGTGTGACGAACATCACTTGTCAGTAAACCCGAACAAGACAGAGCTAGTCCTTTTCACCAACAAAAGGAAGCTACCTGAACTACAGTTACCAAAACTGTTTAATACCAAACTCTACCTTTCAACACAAGTGAAATATCTGGGCATTATCCTGGATGACAAACAGAATTGGGCGAGTCATATTGATATAAAAACAAAGAAGGCCTGCATAGCTTTTAATCAGTGTAGAAGACTAGTTGGTAAAAAGTGGGCTCTAAGTCCAAAGATCACCCTTTGGTTATACACAGCAGTCATCAGGCCCTCTATAACCTACGGTTCAGTTGTTTGGTGGCCCAGGACCCAAGTGGTCAAGCAACAAAATTGGATATGGTCATACAAGAAGAGGCGACAGCAGCAGCCTTAAGACTAAAATCTCTAGGATTATGGAGATTAAATACTGTAACAACACACTCTAATATTCTACAAAAGTGCACGAAGGAGATTCCACTCCTGGAGGCACCTATGGATAGAATATTGAGTCAACACGTCTTTGATCGAAGATACAACATCCAACTTACCGCGGAAAAGGCAGATTACTCTGGCGCCGGGGAAGTTAGGATATACACGGATGACTCCAAAACCAACAGTGGTACTGGAGTCGGTGTCTTCTCAAACGACCTGAATATAAAAATATCTACGACCTTAGGTAAACAAAGCACAATCTTCCAGGCGAAATGTATTGGCATTACCAGAGCGGCACAGGCGGTTGCAGCCAGAGATATCATAGAGTATAACATCAAGATCATCTCTGACAGTGCATCCGTGTTTCAAGCCCTACGCAGCAACACAATAAACTCTGTCCTAGTAATGGAGTGCCACAAGGCACTTCAATCCATTGCGGTTAGCAACACGGTAACTCTGCAATGGATAAAAGGACACAGCAGCTCAATCGGAAATGACGCAGCAGACGAACTGGCTAAGAGGGGAGCAGACACAAAAGTGTATGGTCCCGAACCTTTACTGCCCATACCTCAGGCCCAAATTAAAACGTGGCTGCGTGAAATAACTCAAAAATCACACTTGACGGAGTGGAAAACAGGTGAAGGATGCCGGCAAATGAAAAACGCGGTTCCAGCGGCAAATAAAAGTTTTGCCCGCACCCTTACCAGACTAAATAGGGACAAACTTCGCAGGATTATAGGATCCCTGACTAGTCATTGTCCCCTAAACAAACACCTATATACAATAGGAGTAACGGACAGCCCCCTATGCAAAGGATGCATGGAGGCAAGAAACGCCACAGCATGTCATCATGGAATGCAGGAGTGTGGCCGACCAACGGGCACGACTTCTCCAGTCACCAGAATCGTTTCCGGAAGCTTGCAGCAGTCTACCAAGATTGCTTTCCTTCTGGACCGATATAGGCTGGCTGGAGTAAACGGGAATGTTTATGAGACACGCACAATGGTCCAATAATTAGGACTAAGTGCGGAAACCGCCCTGAAGAACTAACTAACTTTTTTCGGTAGATTATCAGAACATTACAGAGATATTATTTTATTTTATATAAAGAGATATATTGATTTGAAATGTCGCATAACGTCACGTCTTGGCACAATTTTTACTTATAGTAGAAGATCCGAACTAAAAACGATCTTCACCGAGCTGATAATAGAATGAATCATATTTTATAACAAATTTAGTATGTTAGAAAATATGTTGAAAATGGGTTGCCTAAAAAAATCCGGGACAGACAATTTTTAATTATTAAAAAAAATGTTTTATTTTTTTATTTTTGCAACATCAAGATAATAAGAAAATTTTTACCCTGACTTAAAGTATGAAACGTATAGAATGTGCAGCCGTTGGGTTGCCTATTATTTACCTGGACAAAATACTCGGTTGTCAGGTATAAACAGGTATGTCGATGCCAGTTACCTTCACTCGATTAGATAATCGAAAAAATTTTATATAAATATGAGCGTTGTTTTATTGCGAACACGGTGATATAGGGTTGTCTGCAAAAAACTTGGTCCTAATAGGGGTTTGCAAATTTTGAAGATTTTAATTTTAACGCGAGTGGCAATGTGTGACAGAGAGATCCGAATAGGGAAGATGCATATATAATATTTATGAAAATTTTCTGATTAAAATGTTAAAAAAATATAAAAGAAATGCCACTGCAACGTTTTTATTTTACATAATGTTGTTTTTTAACAATTATTACGAATTAAAAATACTTGAAACGGAACGTGTTTAGTGACGTCACTCCTGTTATAACAACTTCTTTGAGGTTATGGTTGTTAAAGTAAATATTATTTTATGGGAATATTTATTGCGTTTTTTTACATTTAATAAAAATGGAAGTTGCGTTTATCAAAGCAGACTCCAGGAATTTACCAAGAGTTAGCGTTGACATGGTTATAACTTTTTTTGTCCAAAGTGCAGAGTTTTTAAGTGTAGAAATGAAAGGGACTAAATTACTACGGTATGCAAAAATCGTAGTTGTTAAACTTCGTATTTTATTCAGCGGCTTCTACAAATCTTACGGCGATAATGCAATCGGCTATGTCCAAATTAAAAGAGATGGAAAATTATGTACAGTAAAAGGTCGAGTTCTCCGGAGCATAAAGTACGTAAAGAAGGTTATCGTGTTACAGTTATTTTAAATGAAACGCAAAGCTTGGTTCAGTCCTGCCAATATGAAGATTGTGCCACACATTTTAAACTTTATCTAATTTTCGACGTCATTCTCCAACTGTAAAATTAAAAATATGTTATAGACAGGTTTTGTAAGTATTAGGTAGTTTACTAATTACCCCTATTAGGACCAAGTTTTTTGCAGACAACCCTTTATCACCGTGTTCGCAATAAAACAACACTCATATTGATATAATTTTTTTTCGATTATCTAATCGAGTGAAGGTAACTGGCATCGACATACCTGTTTATACCTGACAACCGAGTAGTTTGTCCAGGTAAATAATAGGCAACCCAACGGCTGCACATTCTCTACGTTTCATACTTTAAGTCAGGGTAAAAATTTTCTTATTATCTTGATGTTGCAAAAACAAAAAATAAAACATTTTTTTAAATAATTAAAAATTGTCTGTCCAGGATATTTTTAAGGAAACCCATTTTCAACATATTTTCTAACATACTAAATTTGTTATAAAATATGATTCATTCTATTATCAGCTCGGTGAAGATCGTTTTTAGTTCGGATCTCAGACTATTAGAAGTGTCATCACGTTACCTTTGTAATTGTTTGTTGATGGACAAAAGAAAAAGTGCCTATTATTTTTTGATAATTTAGCTGACAAACCAAATATAATTTCACTTACTTTAACCCATCATCATCATCCCTTGTATTGGAAAGTTTAATTATATTTTTATTTGGGCATTAATCGCTAGATTTTGTGGATGTATTATTTACTACAAATAAAATACCTAGTAAATAATATACTACTCAGATAAGGCAACAGGCTGGATTTAACCAACTTTTTAAAATATACTTCTAATTATAAAAATGTTACAATAGCAAATGCCTAAAAATAATTACTTTTTAACAAGTCAATAAATCAAGCACACTCAAACTAAGACAGGTAAGGGAATCAAATAATAATCGATTTTTGTAACATCATTAATAACTATTGAGACAGTTCAGCTTTCAACTAACAGTTTTAATATAAAAGTATTTAAAACATACTTCAGAAAAAAATAACTGTACTGCAATAAGGCGCAGCTTCCATAAAGGTACCTCACTTAGCATAGGAGTTATACAATTTTATCCATTAACAAATAATAAATGGTAATCTCTTATCATGTTTAATTGTAACAAGATCATTGTCTGAAAGGGATCATCTAGATATCACTATGAATGAACAATAGATCCAGGTATAATAAAAATATAGTTACAATGTTACATAATCTTAGAGCAATTATATATTCACTCACTAACAAGGTAATAGCTTACTTTGTACAATAAATACAAGGAAAAATCACATTATGCTACTCAACATCCATAATTGGCCAGCTCTTTGTACTTATTTTTTTTTAATCACACAGCAACCAAATTATTATTTTTTTCTTTAAGAATACATTTGGTTATATTGGTTTTTGTATGTTATGAAGATTGCCTGACATGCAGCAATTTGGGAATATTTCAGATAGTTTAGTATACACTCAAATTATTAAAATAGATTAAAAATACAATAAAGTACATATTTCAAATATCTATCAAAATTTCTTAACTTAAAAGAATGTTAGGTATATACATTTTTATTGAAATAAAGACAAATGAAACTTGTAAACATATACATTAATTTATTTTATACAATCTATAAGCACATAAGAGTTAAATCGATAGAAAAATTAGAAATGTGTTAAGGATGGCAAAGTTAGTATTGCTGGGGCAAAAGGCTTGGACCAGGAACTCTATTTTTGAATCACTTTAAATCTGACATAGTATCGTCGAATGCGACTTAAGTCACCTTCGACTTTCAAGTCGCTTAATACTGATTTTCCGTATTTTTGAATCATTCGTCACCGGTTTTACCTGTTTAATACGAAATATAAAATTTTACTCAGTTCAGGCAGAAAAAATAAAAACCAGTAATTACCGCAAACGTTTTATATAAAGCATGACAATAATAGATTATCGTCGTCTAATAGCACAAAAAAAAACTCAATTATTCTATCATTCGCCATGCAGCGAGTGGTCTCACCCATTCGTTGCACTCCAGCGATAAAAAAATACAGAATTAATTTTGTCGAATGAAATTTATTAGAAATAGAGCGTTCGACGCAAGACGAGTTATTCAAAAATAGAGCTCCAGGTTGCTTTCAGGAAGGCCTCCAATCACACTTATGAACAGCAGACAGGATTGAGTATTTTATTAGGCTAAGCACACAAAAATAGAGTCTGTGTAGAGAGTGTGTTCTAACAATGACACTGTTGTAAATAAATATCCTCCAGTATTTATTATTATTATGTTTGTTTGTTATTGATATATGTTTTAATGTAGTCTTTTTCTACATTTAATGTAGAATATGAGGTTTTTCAGCCATAGGTACATGAATTAATGTTAGTTTTGTGTGTATATAAAATCATTTTTTTATTTATGTACTCACTTTCTATATTCTCATTGGGAAATTTGAAGAAAGAAACATCAATGTTATTCATTGTTCAAAATGTCACCCTACCTCCACGTCTTTTTAATATCATAGCCACTCAGTCCCCACAGCATGAGCACCAAAATTTACATTACCTATATCAAGTTTGTAATCGCCTGCAACTGTCAAACTCCACAGAATTAATTAAATTTATTATAAATTTGACAATTGCGAGCGATAACAACGAGCTATATATAATAAAATATTGCAGTGTTCATTCTAGGGGGGCAGGGTTATATAAGGATTCTAACAAAATCACACTCTTTAAAATCAGTGTAGCTATTTAGACAAGACTAGTTCAGAAGAGCTTGCCAAAAAAACACTTAATGTTCAAAAAAAATGTAATTAAAAATTGACTTCAACTTAAAAACTTTAGTGGGTAAATGTAGGTAGGTTGATAATTAAAAGAGAGATAATAATTACCGAACTAAATCCATGCCCAATAGACGTCTCTGTCTTGCATCTCCATCTCCCTCATTGTTATTAGTCCAAACAGCTTCATTTCCAATAGCAACATTTTTATCATTTGCACCCATTTCAGCTCCCCACATCCATGCTGGTTTACTCAATATCACTGAATTGATAGGCTCTGCACTTTCCTCTAATGTGATGTAAGTGCACTAAAAGAACATAATAACTTGATTATGATTTCCAAAAAAAATATTGTGTGTGATTTATTATTAAATATAAATTTTCATAACATTATACAGCACATTGTTTTATTAAACATTTGGTTACTGCTAATTAAAGTTAGTTAATTAGCTCTATTAAAAAAAAAATTAGAATGCTGACTAATATAAACAAATGGGTTCAAATGATATTTAATTGACTTTGAGTTTGTATTTGACTAAACTTTAAATTTTTTTTATTCTTTAACATTTATTTGTATAAACAGCATTGGTAACAGTTTTTTTTTATATAGGCAGGTAAGCAAATGACTCTACCACACCTGATGTTAAATTTGGTAGAAAAGCATCTAAATACCTTGAGCTTAGATTCCCTTATGCCTCCTTTGAGTAAGACTAATTCTTGGACTTCATTCTGAGGGCGATCTGAATTTTTCCCAAATATAACTCTGGCATTTTTCGTAAGCGGAGGAAGTACTACGAAGGTATCGCAAGATCTTGGAAACATCATAGCTCTGTTCTGCACACAAAGAATTAAAAGATAGACATGACGAATAATCACGAGGTTTCACTTTTGTATTTTCACGTAAACATGATATCGGGGAATACTGTGGGTCACCTTACCGATAGAAATGCAAATTATATTAATTATTCAAGGTGAAATTAGCCAAAGAATTGAATAAAATAAAATAACAACGTACAAGTATAATACTTATGTACAACCTACCTATTCGTTCGCGCTTTAGAATTCTAATAAACTCATAAAGGTTAATATCAGTTTAGACACAGAATGTTATGAAAGACAAATTATTATATTGTTAACCATCAGTACAGGATGAGAAGAAAGGCAAAAGGATTTACTTTCGCGACAAAAAATATACGACAAAACGACCAACATCGAACCGACTGACCAACACCGAGACTGTTTTTTTTGACAATGATGATGGGTGACAATGACAGCTGCTAAGTTGCGTTCAAATTGAGGCTACGCGCCCGGGCCACGGAATTATCTCGCACAGATTCTGCCAGCTAACTTGTATGGGAATGGGTGTGTTCGTAAAGGCGAGAATAATCGCGCGTGTTCTAGAGACATGATTTCCTATGGAGAAGACAAAAATGACGCGAGGATTCACCTCTATTCGGGAGGCGGATTTGCATAGTTTGAACGAAGCTCTCTATGTATTGTTCAGAACTTTTATTCACAAAACAGACAGAGTGAGAGGCAAAAAACAGGGTATTTTAGCTTGAAATGAAAACGATCTTACAAAATTGATCCTATAATAAGTGGTCATTCAAACAAACTGTTGTGTGATTTATTACAAAAAACTTAATTAAAAATTCTACTTTCAAAGTATACTGCTTATTTGTTTATGCCTCCCGCATAAAGGCGTGTTGTTATCAGTTGATAATACTTGTATCGGATGCCTTGGGAGGGCCTATGCTTAGCAGTGGGCGTCGTACGCCATTATAAATATCGGATGCGTTATTGCGATATTTAGTCATATTGCTATTGCGTCGTTACTATCGCAGCACTGTGTAACTTCGTAGCCGTTCTTATATATAATGTACTAAAAACAGATATATATCCCAATTACTCATCCAATATTATTTACCGATAATACCTCCTAAGCAGTTTCTGGTTTTTCTTAATGTGATGTTAAACGGCTAACAAACATTAAGGCGATTCTCACATTACCCCGCACTACGCTGCGGAGTGCAGATAAAAAATGATATGACATCATGGTTGTTGTGGGAGTGCAGATCATACGACTGCAGTTTTTTTGAGTGAGACCTCATTTCACTTAATATATGAAAACCATTTTTATATTATAAGCCAATATGAAAGTCTTTTAGAATTTGATATCTTTTGAAATATGTATCAGAATTCCGTCGAATCAAAAATCAGAGTATAGAAATAAGATTCATGTTAACTTTAAATTAGGGTATGGTGAGTATATATATATATACTTACCATAGATGCCATACGCACAGTCCTCACCAACTGGGTGACAAGAAAGTACGGGTCTGTCTCTTTCGACCCTGTACAGGTGCTTACCGGGCATGGATATTTCAGGTCATTACCTACACCCGATTGCTCGGCGAAAGGAGACAGACACCGCAGTACCACGAGAGCGGCACTGCAGAAGACAGTTCAACACACACTAGAGGAGGTGTGTACTGCTTGGGAATCCCAACGCCGCTTCCTGGTGTAGCTGTCATAGAAGAGGACCTGTCCCTGTCCAGTGTGGTAAGGGTCAGGCAGGTCCTGGCAGACGATGGTCTCATGGCGGCCCAAATCTGACTCAGACGGCAGGGTGGTCGAAGGCGGAGATTTGACCGCCTCCTCCCACTCTAGTCGAGGTCAGCAGGTGTAGGTAACCTACGCCTGCATAGCACGGTCCCGACTGTCTGAGGGGGACGCTGGGGCGGAGTGGTTGATTCCCATTAAGGAATCTATGCTGTCATAACCGGCAGGGAGGGCACGTCCCGGTGTTTTAGTGGGTACACGATCCATGCAGCAAATACAAAGAGGAGCTGCTGTATGCAATGTCGCAGAGCTACAACTATAATAATGTTGCCTGACAATAGTTCGACTCCATTTTTCGTAGAGTAAACACGTGAACGTGTTTTTAAAGTTTTTTTTATATCCTGTAATTCCTGCTGGTGCTTGGGACAAGTTAATTCGTTTTTAGTAATTTCTATTGACACCTTTAATAATGCACTATAAAAATTAATTGCCTAATGAGAAAATATAATCATTTTTAATGTATTAATATTACGACCAGTACAAATGGCAAATAACGCCATCTAGCGTTAAATAGACATATAATGCGATTAAACTAAGAATAGGAGCGTCTGGCCGCCAATTGTGACGTCACAGCTGTCAATTCAAACCAAATAGGTAGAGTGAGCAAAACAAAGCTTTTATTTAATAAAACTTATTTACTAAGATTAAGTAAGAAAAAACACCAGATTTTTTAATAAAATTAATTTACTAAGATTAAGAAAAAACACAGCCGATTTTTAATAATATTTCTTTAATAAGACTGTGTGAGAAATAACATAAATCAGAATCTAGCTCTTCAATTCCGCTCATCTCTGCATTACCGCCGGAGTACTATGAATAATCATGCAGGTCACATACGAACATGCATCCTTTATGTAAACAAAAGTTTTAAATCGAGTTTCTGAACGAAATATAAATTGACATTTGGTTGACGATTTAGGTTATCAACCATTCATAGCCAAAGGTCAATAAAAGAAAAAAACTATCAACCAATATTAATTATCAATATTTGTTATTGTTCCTTTAAAAATGTTTGGTTTTTATTATAGAATTAGCTGAGTGCTAAAAAAGTGTTCCGAAATTTTTTTGCAAACCGTACTTTTCAAGCGATATTTGACAGATAGAGGTCATTGGCTTTCCTATTCTTATTTGAATCGCATTATACTACATACTATCCAGTGTCTGCACAATCAGGTTTTGATTTTGCTCTACAATATTTTTTGAAAATTGTCCTAAATACCTACCTTAGATTTCTGAAAATCCTAGATTTAGAGCATGTTTAATCACTTAGAAATTCATCAAAAACTAATTATTTTAATTATATTATGAGGTCGTAGTTGATCATTCTAATGTAGGTATTTTTAAGTAGTAAGAAACAAACCGAAATATTATTCCTTCGTAAATAAATACGGTCGAGTCGTCGTAGGTGGTAGCCGGATCTTACCCGGGGATTCTTAGCACCCCTTGCCCCGCCGTTACCATAGCTGCTACCGTGGCTAGGAATAGCAGGGCTGCCGGGGACTGGGGCCAATTTTTAATTGTGCTACTCATTTCTTGGGGGGGTTTTGCCATAATCAGTACAGCCAAGATATTGTAACAAGACGCTGCTGCCCGTCTTCTGCTGGCTGTGTTCCCTTAGTCGCCTTTTACGACACCCACGGGACGAGAGGGGTGGTGCTATTCTAGGCCGGCACACACACGGCACGCAATTCCACGCAAGCACCTGTTGAAAGCAAGGCTAGAGACCCCAGAGCCAAGCTTACTCGACACTACACTGAAGATATCCCGGACGTCAGCCTGTATGAGATTAGTATGGCTCTCAAACAACTTAAAAACAACAAGGCGGCGGGCGATGATGGAATCACAGCAGAACTTCTGAGAGCGGGCGGTAAGCCGATACTTAAAGTCCTCCAGAGGCTTTTCAACTCCATCATCCTTGAAGGCAGAACGCCAAAAGCATGGGCCAGAAGTGGGGTTGTCCTGTTCTTCAAGAAAGGTGACAATGCACTCTTGAAAAACTATCGACCAATCGCGCTTCTTAGCCATGTTTATAAGTTGTTTTCGAGAGTCATTACGAATCGTCTCGCACGCAGGTTTGACGACTTCCAACCTCCCGAACAAGCCGGTTTCCGCAAAGGCTTCAGTACCATGGACCACATTCATACGAATACGTTATACAGAAGACCGAAGAGTATAATCTGCCATTTTGTTTGGCGTTCGTGGACTATGAGAAAGCTTTCGATTCGATTGAGACCTGGGCGGTGTTACAGTCTCTCCAAAGGTGCCAAGTAGACTACAGGTATGTCGAGGTATTAAGGTACCTCTACGAAAACGCCACTATGTCAGTCCGATTACAGAACCAGAGCTCCAAACCTATCCAATTGAAGCAAGGCGTGAGACAGGGAGATGTAATATCTCCGAAATTGTTCACAGCTGCATTGGAGGATATTTTTAAGCTTCTGGATTGGAAAGGACGAGGCATTAACACCAATGGCGAGTACCTTTCGCACCTTCGTTTCGCCGATGATGTAGTTCTTATGGCTGAGACCTTGGAAGATCTTAACACGATGCTCGAAGATCTTAGTAGTGCTTCCCAAAAAGTGGGTCTTAAGATGAACATGGAGAAGACGAAAATTATGTCGAATGCCCATGTAGTACCCGCTCCAGTTAAAATTGGGAACACTACACTCGAAGTTGTCGACTGTTACGTCTACCTAGGACAGACAGTCCAGTTAGGTAGGTCCAACTTTGAGAAAGAGACCTCTCGTCGTATCCAGCTCGGATGGGCAGCGTTCGGGAAGCTATGAAAAATATTCGCGCCCAATTACCTCAGTGTCTCAAGACAAAAGTCTTTGACCAATGTGTGTTGCCAGTGATGACCTACGGAAGCGAGACGTGGTCCTTTACTGCGGGTCTCATAAGAAGGCTCAAGGTCACGCAGCGAGCAATGGAGAGAGCTATGCTTGGTGTTTCTCTACGCGATAGAATCAGAAATGAGGAAATCCGTAGGAGAACCAAAGTTACCGATATCGCTCAAACGATGGCTCTGCTGAAGTGGCAGTGGGCGGGACACGTAGCAAGAAGAACCGATGGCCGTTGGGGCGGAAAGGTTCTGGAATGGCGACCACGCACCGGACGACGCTCTGTGGGTAGGCCCCCCACAAGGTGGACCGACGATCTTGTGAAGGTCGCGGGAAGCCGATGGATGTGAGTGGCGCAGGACCGATCGGTGTGGAGATCCTTGGGGGAGGCCTATGCTCAGCAGTGGGCGTCATACCGCTGACATGATGATGATGATGATGATGAAATAAATACGCAATAAAGAAAGAGAAACATACGTAAAAGTCATTTAAATATACTTGTAAACTTTAATTTTATTGTTAATGTTATTGATTGCGAATGGAGGTGTTGTACTGCTTTTACTCCTTCGATCAACTATTCTATAGATAACGGGTAAGCGCCAAAAATCCGACTCGGTAAATATAGCCCCACTTAAGGCGTGAGATCTTATTTTTAATTAGTTCGGTTAATATAAACGAAGTAGCTCGCTGGGCAATGACTGGTAAAAATATTTTATTTTGTGGGTCATAGGGTTGATTTTACATTTTCCTTTTTTCACCTTTTTTGTTTTTTTCCAGGTCCCTTTGCTACGCCAGAAACCTCCCCGTGTGGCTGGTGCATATCCTGTCCTGTGGCTTAGGCCTAGGGAACGGAAATGTGCTGGTCCGGTGCACTCTGGGCAACTACGTATGAGGCATCCGCAAGGATACCTAGGAAGGATCGACCGGAAGAGGGAAAACCAATATGAGAATTTCGGATTATGTAGTGTGTATGTCATGCTCTCCCGCTGACACCGGGCGCTCTGAGGTAGCTGGGCCTCAGAGTGTGAAATTGACTACTAGCGGCCTATGCGCCCCGGCTGGCCACCGGCGCTGCGGGATTACCGGGTCCCGTAGTGGTAAATTGGTTACCAAGGCGTCAGAAGGAGATGGTGTCCTGCGGCTTAGAGGCGGCGGGGATAAAGTGGATGGGATGTGCTTGAGACCGAGTGCTTGGGGGGCAAGGTAAGCGAGACCCGCAAGGGAAAGAGTAAGCGCAAAGCTTCCCCAATCGCGAAATACATGGTCTCAGATGAGGAGTTAGAGACCTACACGACCGAGGAGATCAGGTTCGCGGTCGACGAGCGCATGAGGTTCGTTGACTCCTTAGTGGAGCACTTATGCCCAGTGAAGGACAGAGATGCCGAGGGTGCCCTAGTGGTGACAAAGGAGACAAGGCAGGCACTGGAAGTGGCCCTGTGGAGGGCTGAGGCGGCGGAAAGGCTGCAGAAGGTAGAGGATGTGAACCTCCGACTCCGGGACGAAAATATGAAAATGAAGGCTGAAATGGCGACCATGCGAGTGGAGCTGGAGTCGCTGAGGAGAGCGATGGAGGAGAGAGCCCACCCGGTGGCCCCTCCAACCACACAATTGCTGCCGCTGGAGGCAGTTGAGGAGCTGAAACGCTCCCTTATGATATCCATAGGGGATATGGTCAGCACTCGGCTGGCCTCCTTAGAGGAGAGACTCCCGCCACCGAAGAGGCTTAGACCGCCGTTAGCGGCGGACCGGCGGGATGTGAGGACAACAACGAGGGCAGAACCAACACAACCGGCGGAGTCTTGGAGTGTGGTCGTTAGGAGACGGAGGAGGAAGGTGGGGAGCTCAGCCGCCTACCCTGATCTCGTGCAGAAAGGGGAGTCCACGCGGACCAAGCGTGACCCAGCTCCAAGGAAGGGGGCTGGGGCAGCAAAAATAAAGGTGCCAAGCACTGCAGCGGTGGAAGTGAACTTGAGACCTAGGGCGGTGGAGCTAGGCCTCACCCACACCAACATCATGGAGATGGCACGGGCGGCTATCAAACTGCCGTCCGTGGGGATAGAGGAGGGCCTTGTTATTAAGAGCAGCCAGACGGGTTCGAAGCTCCTAATAATCTCAGGACCGGAGAGCAGGGCCGAGGTCGACACCCTGGCCAGGCGTATGGGTGAGATAGTGGACGAATACGCCGAAGTCGGCAGGCCCGAAAATAGTGCGGACATGCGAATTTTCGGGCTAGACGAGTCCATCACCCTGGATGACATCAAGGAGGTGGTAGCCAAGAGGGGGGGCTGCTGCCCCCGCGAGGTGACAGCAGGGGGAGTGAACCCAGGGTCAGGAGGCATGTGGGGGACACTTGTGCGATGCCCCGCATGGGCCGCCAGAAAAGTGGCGGAAGGCGGGAGGATAAAGGTGGGCTGGAGTCAGGCACAAGTGAAGGTGCTCAGCCGGCGCATGCATTCGGTGAATGGAGAGGGGGCCCGGCCAAAGAGAACAGGAGCGCACTCTGCTTCAGGTGCGGGGCAGCGGGGCACAAGGCGGCGACGTGTGCCGCCCCGTCCCGATGCGTGGTGTGCGCGGCGAGTGGTCGGCCGGCTGACCACATTATGGGGAGCGGGAGGTGTGACCCGCCGGTCACAAAGGGCAAACCCCCCGAACGAATGGCCTCTGAGTTGTCGGCGCCCGGACGGGCACCCTCAGAGGGGGGGATGTCCAAGTAGCCTCGGCTTCTCGGACCCCCCACGAATGCTGTCGCCCGCGTTCCCCCCCTTTTCTCCTAGGAGAAGGGGCGAGGAGACGTGGGCGACCGGGAGGCGGGAGAGGGACGGGAACAACTACGCTTCCTCTCCCACTCCCCCCTTCCAGGAACGGCGGCCCGTCATTTGTAGTTTTGTCCTACAAAGGGGGGCGGCGGAGGGTTGCTTGGACGGGTACGCCCAAGTAGTTCTCCGCAGGGGACGGGGGGCGGTACGGTGGGCACTTAGCCGCGTACTCAGCCCCCAAGCGCGGGCCTACCTGCGCACGTCTGCGGGGTCCCCGCAATACCTCGGGAGACCCCTGCCGTGGAGCCCCGGCGAGGCCGGGAAGCTGCTGGATGCCGGGATGCGGAGAAATCCCTCACCAGGGGATCCCGCGGCTTCGCATCAAGCAGTGTTGAAGGTATTCGCAGGACTTTTTTAGCGGATATTATGCCGTAAAGCGCTCGTAAGAGTTGCGGGGTCCTCGGTGGGCAGCCACTAGGGGGTCCGTAAGACTTGCGGGAGCCAGGTGTGAGGTCCTTTCGGCGGTGTGCCTCTTAAAAGCCGTTGTCTGTAAATAGCATTTTTTACCTGCGTAATAAAAAAAAGGTATCTGTACCCTTAGCACGAACCAATATCGAATTCGAATCGAAATCGAGTTCGAAATGTCATTGTCAAATGTGTTTTGATTTTTAAGTTCTGTTTACGTACTTTGTGCCGCTGCTGTGCAAGTTTCCATACAAAGTTTTCGGTTTGCAAACTATTCGAATTCGTTAATGGTTCGTGCTAGGGGTACAGATATAATTTATTAAAGGAACGAGAGTTCGTTTTGTAAGATAATCATATGTGCGAAATAACATTTTGTTATTTGTAACCTTATTACTTGTGAGAGATAGTTGTTATTAGGTTCAATTTAAACTGTTTTAAAACATTTATCATTATTCATAGGGAATCGAATGTAGCTGCATAAATTTAAACATACGCGGACAGTATTTAGCTTTGATTTTGTATGCAAGTTATCTATAGAATAGAATGTTTACTCTAAGAAATCAAGTGAAGCTACTGATAGAGGAAGGTTATTTAATAATTTCCTTAGTGCGGTCCCGACTCGTGTGTGTCGTCGTGTTTAAAAGTATTGCTTGATTTTAGTTTCGCTACTTGCCATGTGGCGCTGTTGGCATGCTGCACCTCCCCCGCTTCCCTATCAGTGGTTTCACTTGATTTCTTAGAGTAGGCGCGATACAAGACCTCCTCTTTGTTTTTTCTCCGTGGTACCCAAGCCCTATTTAATCCCGTCGCCTTACCCAGCTGCGGGGTACAGGTCGCGGCACGTAAAGCTGGGGATACACATGCCCGTAGCTTGCACACTAGCATACCAGCTCCTTACACGTACCACTTTCATGTGTATACGCTAACTAACTGGCATGCCTGTAATACTGGCATGCATGCAGCTAGCACAACGTTTGATTTACTTGCATGCCCCTTGACGGAGGGGACGCGGGGGGCTGCTAACCTGGCACGTGTGAACAGACGCGACAGACAGCCACGGGCATGCCAGTAGCCAACTCGTTGTGGCCGTAGGCGCAGGTTTTTGTTTTGATTTCGGAGGTCAAGTTTTTAAGTTCCTTTTTGGTTTTTGTATTCAACATGGCACGATGGGGAGATGAGAGAACTACACCGTTCATTCATTTATAAAGAGAATACGAATGTCTTTGGAAGCCGACTAGCTCGCTTATCAAAAACAAAATAGCATGTGCCTTCAGCAAAATACAAGAAGAATTAAATCTGAATTAAATGCTAGTTACGACACGATTTTGTTTAATTCACTTCGATTGTTATCCATATTTGGCGCGCAAGAATAGGTAGGTACGAGTGACTTTCACGAACTGTCCTGTGTATATGCGATGGTAATACTGGCATGCAAGGGCACAACTTGCACGCCAGTTCTACTTGCAAATGTATGCTACTACCGTACCGCTTGCTACCGTAGTGTGCCAGTTACTCGTACATGCCAGTAACTTTCATGCCAGCTACTATCCCGATTTATTGGCATGTGTATCCCCAGCCTAACTCTAGCGCTGAACAAAACGCGGTGAGGATAGTTGCGCATGGGTACGACTGGAGAGCTAATCGGCGCAACGCATGCCCACCTGAGCACTTCGTTTCTCGTCGTCGAAGATGTCTTAATTTTTACTTCTGCGCAACAACGGTCAGCGCTAGAGTTTCATGCCGCGACTTGCGTCAGGTATTTCACCGGTTTAAAAAAAGGGTGTTATTCCTAGCTGAATTAATTGATCTAATCTGTTGTCTTTCTAATATTGCGGACAGTGTCAACAGACTATCGTAATCAAATGTAGCAGTGGCCTCCTTTTGCAGCCGAGGAATGTTTTCGGGGGTAATAAGCTGTCCCGCGGGAACGTTCCCTTTCCTTTGTAGGTACCGAGTCAGCGTTTGTATTCGACGTCGTAACTTAAGTTTTTATTTCATTCAGCCTTAATCATTGACAAACAGTCACGAACCTTTACGAGTTAACCGATAAACGCATGCCCATGACTTGTTTGACATTTGGCTAAATAGGATTTTATTCTCAATTTCGTAGGTAGGTAAAATGTCGATGTTATTATAGATTTGCTAATAATACCATGAATACACTGTAAAGTGTGCGGTAGGGTCATAGTCAACATTTTCAGTGACACATTATCACAACCGACAGCGATCGACTTGAGTTTGAGAATTATGCGCAAAACCTCATGTTCACTGGGCGGCGCCAAAGTGAACGTTTTATCACATAACCTATGAAATTCAAAATAGGTCAGAGAGGATATAGCGGCACGGGATGCTCCTGGAACGTTGATAAAATGATAATTTATGCTGTCCACATCACTCAGATGGGAAGGAAGCTCTGCACCTTGATTAGACGGTATTATATCTTTTTTTAAATTTTTCCATAACTGCTTCGGATCATATATTTTATTATTAATATTATACTTAAAATAAGCGACTTTTTCACTATATAACGACGATGTAACTAACGACTTCAACTGTCTATAGTAGTCTTTACTGGATGCAGTCTTATTTTTCCTAAACTCTGCCAAAGCATTGTCACGCATTCTCATCATGAGTCTTATATTATCCGTTATCCACGGTGGGGTCGGTTCTCTTATAACACACTGCCTAATAGGCGCGTGTGTGTCAAACAAGGATATAATATGCTCCTTTAAACACCTTACCATATCATTCACATAAGAAAACGAAGACAAATCTTTCCAACTCAACCCCTCCACGTCAAGGTTAAATTGACTTAAGCATATGTCTTTAAAAGGCCTGTACTGCACTACGAGGGGTTTAATTTTATGTTTATTTAAATGAAATTCACACCAAATTACAGCATGGCCGTGCAAGTTACTACCTAACGACTCAACAGTGAGCCGCTTGGCACTGAGATCAGAGCACACCAGATCGATTAAGGTTTCACTTGTGTTAGTGAAATGCGTAGGCGAAGTGACTTGCTGCCTGAGACCCAAGTAAGAAATAGTGTCACAAATTTTTTTTGTTGCATTGTTCAGCGCTAAAATATTTACATTAAAATCTCCCATCAGTATACAATGGTCTATGTCACCAAGGGCAGCAACCGACCCAGTGATGGCGTCAAGAAATATCTCCAAGTCTAACCACGGTGGTCTATATGCTGTGCCAATTGCAATCTTTTTCCCATTCACAGACAATAATAACCACATTTGCTCGACCATGTCATACCTAGGATCTATTGGTGCACTCCAGTTACGCGCGACAAGGCTCCGCTTGAGATAAAAACCTACCCCTCCCCCGCGGCCCGAGCGTACGGTGCGCGGGCGCGGAGTGTGGCGCAGTCGATCAGTGTTGCCAGTACCTGCGTCGTGTTTCGGACGATTCGAAATCTGAAAAGGGACGATTTTTAGTCAAAAAGGACGGCCCTACAGAAATATTAAACTAAAGGCTGAACTATATTTATCTTACGTGTTGTGTTGTGGCGCGATCTGGTTCATACATTTAGTACGGTTAGCACTAAGAACTATACAGAAGCAGATCTCTATTAAAAAATTTAGACATATTAAAATTGACAATCCAGTTAAGAAATGTGTATTTATTGCTATTTTGGACATTTTGCTTATTTTTCTATTAAAATTTTGACTATTAGTATAATTGACAATGGCTTATCAAATTTATAATTAATTTATAATCTACTTTGACATGCATGTAACAATAGACAATTTCAAATTATATTCATAAATTGTGATTCCAATGTAAAAATAATAGTACTTCTTTCATAGGTCCTTATCTATTTGTATACCTTAATTAAGGTGGAAATGTAGTGATACTAACAAAAATTATATATACCATGTATACTAACCTATGTTTCACAAATAAAATTCTGAAATTCTGATTCTGATTAAACCTGTGTGTCGCGATGTGTCGACAGCGTTCTCACATTAACCATAATTGTATGAAACAGATAGCTCTCTGATGTGTTACAATACAACACGACAGGTAAGTGTAGTTCTATTATAATGCGGTTAAATGAAAAGAAAAGCGAGTCTGCTTAGGAACACACGACTGGAAGTGAAATTTCTATAGCTCCAATGATCTGTAATTTGATAGAAAAAAACCATCAATCCGCGCTGGGTCCGTTATCACACACCAATCCGTGCTGGGTCCGTTATCACCCACCAATTCGCACTGGGTCTATTGCCACCCACCAACCCGCACTGGGTCCGTTATCATCCACCAATCCGCACTG